ATCTTCCTTTTACCCATAATCTAGGACCCAGTTTGCTGGCATTAATTTGGATATAGGATAGATGATATCAGGTACGGGTATTAGAATTGTTTTGTCTGGGGTGGGAAGTAGTATAAGAATAAATTAGGTTATTAGCCTAATTTCATGTTCTAATGAATAGTTCTTTATAATTATTCCTGAAATTAAAAACAAAAGAAACTATAGTCCCTTGACAGTTATATCTGGATACTATTAATTTTTGTTATTAAGTGATAATGAAAATAATAAACTTTCAAAAGTTCAAATAGTGTGGAGGCTTATCATGAAAATCAGTAACTTTTAGTTTCATCTCTCTTATTCTGGGTGTGTTCCCACAAAGGCAACCACTTTGAACTTTTCCTGTTTTTGTTTGAGTAGTTTCTACCATATTTTTAAATTAAGGTTAGAAATGACCTCTCTGAATTCTCTTGTAGGTAAAGATTTTACTTATTCACTTAGTAGTGAATTAGTATATCATGTTTGTCTCTTTTCTAGTGTAATTTGCATTTCCTGACTTATTTTTCTGCTTGAACAATTTTTATATAAATCCTTATTATTTCATCATGTCATTATTATGCTATATTATGCAAGCCTTCTATATATTTTAAAAGTAATCGCTCAGAATAATCTCATGCTTGTGTTATTTTTTTCCTCTAGAGACTTGCTTCCTAGGTTGATTGGTTATTTTGTAGATGTGTGATAAAGAGTGATCATCCCAGAACTTACCTTTTTCCTGTCTTTGCATTGGAGCTACATCATTAGTACCTCTGAGTCTCCAGTTTGCTAAATGCAGGTCTTGGGGTTTGTCTGACTGTCTAATTGTGTGGGTCCACTTATAATCACAACCCTTCTTGCTCTCCTCACTTCATTGCCTCCTGGTTTCTCAATTGTCTGCTTTGGTCTAGCATTGCACATAAACCACACTCATTTTTATACAGTTTCTGTACTCTGTTTGGGAAGTGACTCTTTTAACTAGTTTTGATGATTTTCTATTGCAGCCAACAATAATATTGCCTTCTTGACTGAGAGCAGAGACACACAGAGCAGGTGTGATTTAAGCACTTCTGTTTTGGTAATTCAATTTCACTGTTCTGTCTCACCTTGCTTTACTTATAGGATATCAGCACCTGGGAGAGCTTACACCTTCTTTTTGCTAGGATTATTTCCCTGTATTTGGAAGAATACATTGAATTCTGAGTGAAGGGCCAAAGGTATAATTAAGTACAATAGACTTCGACCTATTTTACTTTTCTTTGAAGGCAGTGGTAGACTGTATTTGTTTTCTTAGGCCAGTTATTTTCATCATAAATATTTTTTCTATTGAAGATGGAGAATCTCAGTGAAGATGATCCTTTGAGCTTTGCAGTACAAAATTGAATGAGTCTCACAACTCATATTAATTCGATTTTATATCTAAAGTTCACAGGTTTTCTTGTAAAGCCATGAAATAAAACCTACCTTTCAGTGGTGCTGCATTGAAAGATATTAGCCCAAAGCATTCAATGTCTTGTGTTGGCTTATCTAAGTGTTATCCACACTGGGGGATTTTCCTGGCAGCCTGCTCTGTGCTCAAAGTGTTATCTTCTCTTTTTATCTTCTTCTCATCCCACAGTGTCATGAAATAAATTACTTTTTGCCAAAGCTATTTATTCAATAATGCATTGAGTGAAAAAAGCAGATTTAGAAAATGGATAGAAACAGGGCACTTATGCTATTAAATAGAAATTATAGTGAGTCTCTATCAAGTTTCTTTCAAAGGCCTGTTTATTTATTGTACTGTCTATCTGAATTTATTTATTTTTTAGTTGAGTTAATATTGGTTTATAAAACTGTATATGATTTATGGGAATAGGTTCATACCTTCCCAGATGTACGTTACCACATCACACCCATCACCAAAGCACCCATAGTCCTTCATCATAGTCCATTGAACCCCCCCAGTCCCCAAAGGTATAATTATAAGTTGATTGATTAGAGTCCAACCCATTTTTTTATTGGATGTGTATCATATATAATAGGCTAAAAACACTTATGAGCTATTGGCTGGAATACTGTGTGGGTCAAATTACTGTATTCTGGGAACAACTATGAGTTAAGGCATACATAGATAAAGCTTTATTTTAGTGATCAGTTCTTCCATAAAGGAATGAATTCATAGTGTTCCATTTGATTTGGTCCTCTAAACTACAGTTAAAAAAACTTTGTACCACCATCTATCTTGTATAGTGGCTTGATACATTTTTGCCATTCCTTAATGAGCTTAATGTCCGCTAGTTATTTCTGTCTTATCATCAGACAGGACTATGTAAATGTAGCGCTATCCCTTAACATCAGGTTCTTTAAATTTGAATTGAATTGTCTTAAAAGTGGTTTTCACACAACTTGTCAAATATGTGTTTAGGAGAAGAAGGAGAAGAAGGCTAAAAATAATTCTATCTGTAAAGATGACTCTTATCATTGTATGTCATGGAACACCAGGCTATTGATCACCTTTTGATCTCTGACACAGTGACTATGGATGGTACATGGGATGATTTTCTGCTCCAACAACTGACCTCAGACTACCATGGTTTTTGTTGCTCCGGGACTGGTTGCTGTTAGGTCTTAGAACAGTGTGCATGCCTCTAGTGTCTTGTCTGTAGCCCCTTAACACTTCTAATTTACTGTGTTTGTGAAACCTGGGAGATGATTTTGCTTAAATGTATTTCAGTTAAGTCTTGGCTCAGAGGCATACACCTTCTGGAGGTGAGCTAGTTGGCGAGTAGGTACTTTTATGAATGAGCCTTGAGCAGTCAAAGGAAATGTTCATTTTTACTCCTTCCTGTTCTCAGATATGTCTTTGGATGCTTTCATCCATTGATTATCTGCTCTGTGCTATGCACTAGAAATGTATGCAGTTGAAGTAAATATTCTTACTGCTTCCAGACTCTATTCTGGGGATAGATAAATCAATATGACACAAAGCGAAACAGAGACTATATAATGTAGGTGTTAACATCGTATTGTGGATTTGGAGGAAGAAGTTATTATGAATTTTCCTTCACTTGATGGAAGATATAGTGTTGGATTAGCAGGAAAACTTTATTCCTGGAGAGACGGTGTGGAATGGGGAAGGTGTCCCAGGTGGAAGCAAAGTGTGAGCACAGGTGGTCAAATAGTGTGTGCTGAACAAATGAGGTGTAGAGAAGCATAAAACATCTCTGGTGGGTACTCGAGGGACAGATTGAATGCCTGTTACTCAGAGTGTATTTACAGAGTTGACTTTCTACATTGAATTGGTGACTTTGTAATAAGAATTGTAGTGCACCACAAATCCTGGGATAATAATTCTACCTGTGTATGTGAGTTACCTGATTGATGCTTCTTCTTCACTCTTTTTTTCAGTGTTCATACCTTATTATAGTTGGAGCTTGTATCTCCTTCTGTTTTGTTGTCCTTAAAACTTTATCTCCCTTTAATAAACATTCTTTATATGCTTACTGTTTTTATAGCATGTAGCTCCTAGAAGATGGGGAAATTTCCTTGCTACATAGTGTGAAAACATATGAGTTTGAATGTGAAGTTCACATTAGGTTTTCTTATGAGGTAGAGCCTTTTACATATTAGAGACCACCACAGGAACTTTCTTGTCTAGAGATTTTTAAACATTTTCTATTGAAGTAACTTTGTATTGTAATATTAACAGTTCAGTAATGCATTATTCTAATTCAACATCTATCTGTCTATCTGACTGTCTATCTACTGTTTTAAGCTCATCACTAAAAGACCTATCCTTTACTATGTATTTGACCATTTTTACCCAATGTATTTACCTACTTTCATCCCCCACCCCTTCTGGTAACCACTCATTTGATTTATTTTTGTTTTATTTAGGCCATTTGGTTTTTCTGTCCACCACACAAGTGGAATCATATTGTATTTGTCTTTCCCTATGTGACTTATTACATACTGAGTATACCCTCTGAATCTATCCATGTTGTTGCAAATAGCAGAATATCATCTTCTTCACTCCTGATTAGTATTCCATTTTATGTATGTACCACAGTCTCTTTATCCGGTCATCTGTTGATGGGTGCTTAGGTTGTTTCTAATTCTTGTCTATTGTAAATAATGCTGTAATAAATATGGAGTGCATATATGTTTTTGATTTAATATGTTTGTATTTTTAAAAAATTTAAAAAAGATTTATTTATTTATGCATGCAAGAACTGGGGTACAGGCCAGAGGTATGGGGTGGAGGGTGTGAGAGGATTCACTAGAGACATGGAGGGAACAGAACAGGCAGATTGACTGAAATACACTGCTGAGGGGAGCAGCGGGAGAGACAGGAGAGGTCTGCTGCGCCATGTGGGTTAGCTCCCAGACTGGCTGGGAATCGAACTTGTGCTGCAGAGGCTGCGAATAGCTTCACAGTGCTGTGCTTAACCCCTTTCACCACCAGGGAGGCCCTATTTTTGTATTCTTTAGGTAAATTCCCAAATGTGGAATAAGTGGATATATGGAATTTCTGTTCTCACGTGTTTTTTTTTTAAAGATTTATATATTTATACATATAAGAACTGGGGTGTGAGCCAGAGGTGCAGGGGGTGAGGGGATTCACCAGAGACAGAGTGGGGAGCAGAACAGGCAGATCTAGTGAAATACACTGCTGAGGGGAGCAGTGAGCGAGACAGGAGAGGTCTGCTGTGCCATGTGGGTTGCTCCCTGGCCAGTCGGGATCAAACTCCTGCTGCAGTGGCTGGCCGTAGCTTGATAGCACTGTCTTTAACCCCTGCGCCACCAGGGAGGCCCTGTTTTTATGTTTTGAGGACTTTTCACACTGCTTTCTGTTCCCATTTACATTCTTACCAATGAGCAAGGGTTCCTTTTGCGCCAACACTATGTTTATGAAATCACTTGTAAAGTTTTGGAAACTTTTTGTTTTCTTGTATTTTAGAATTTAGAACTATAACTGACAGTATTGTTTTTCTTTATACTTGCAGTACGGCCAAGTACAGTGTGTTGACATTTCTACCTCGATTCTTGTATGAGCAGATTAGAAGAGCTGCTAATGCCTTCTTCCTCTTCATTGCCTTATTACAGGTAATGTTTTTTTTCCCCAATGTCATTTAAAATTCATAATCTTAATGATATGAATCTTCCTTCATTCACTCATTGTGTACACGAACAAATGGATCTTTGTATAAAGGGAGATTTTTTTTGGTATTGCCTTAAGGATAACTGCAGTGACTAAAAGGGACTCTGAAAAATTGCCCTAGGTCATACTTTTAACTGCTTTCTATTCCAAACACATGGTAATATTGAGTAAAAATTTGAACAACAGTTTTAAAATAAGGTAATTGTTTTTGTGTAATAGGGATAGAATGGAACTGCAAAAGAGTGAGTGGTAGTGAGTGCTGTGTTTTCTTTTATCTTGCAGCAAATTCCAGATGTATCTCCAACAGGAAGATATACTACCCTGGTGCCATTGATCATTATTTTAACAATCGCAGGCATCAAAGAGATTGTGGAAGATTTTGTAAGTTTTTGCTTTTAGAGAATAAAATGTGCATTGAATATAATCTATAACTAACTTGTTACCTAGATTTTTTTTTTTTGAAATAGGAAGTTGGTCTTTTGCTTAACCTGTCAGTTTCATGATGTTATTTCTGGGGAGGAAGTGTTTACATACAGTGTCTTAAATACCTGTCCAATGACACAGAAGTGGTTCAGACTACTTATTTTCCAATGTTAGGTCACTATGTCCTTTTGAATTTTATCACTGATGTTCCTTACACCCTCCTTTGGAGCTTACTGACTCGACTGTGTTGCTGTCTCATGCAGTACTGCTGTGCCTGTGGTAAATTTACGAGAATCTCTTCCTTCTTTATATTTAAGTTTAGTGTGTCTATAATAAGTTTGTTGTCTGCTAACATATTCATAATATCTTTTTTCTTTTTCTCATTTCTTTTCTCTGTGCCCTTTCTCTCATCTTCCCCTGCCTTACTATCTTGTTCTCTCTCCCTCTCTGACTCTCCCTCTCTCTACCTTTCTCTCTCTGCCCCCCCCACACACATACCACACACACACATTCACACACTCGCAAGCACACACAAATACATGCTTTCTCTCATGTATGTACAATTTTCTAAGACAAAGTAAATGTATACATGTAAATATAAATCAAAGCAAAGGTACTTTGCTCACCAAATGCTTTATCAAAATAAGAATTCAATTATTTTTCTTGGGCTTATCATAGTGAATAATTCTTTCAATCTTATCTAAAACAAAACCATGAGATGTTTTATAATTCAGAATGTTATTAAACTGTTAGAACCAAAATATAATCATTTAAATCAGAGTTTACTCTTACTGCATTTGTCTCCTACATCCACTGAGTGATGCGTGATCACAGACTCTTGAGCTGAACTTCATGGAGTCGGTTTTGGTGGCACTTGGTTTCTTTATCCCTAGTATTTTCCTGGTATAATTGTTGCTATTTCAATTACCCATTTGGAACTTTTGAATCTAAGAACTTTTTTCTTTTTGTAACAGAAACGACATAAGGCAGACAATGCCGTTAACAAAAAGAAAACGATAGGTAAGAAACAAGACTGAATGATTTTTCCATTATAAAACCTAAGATTACCAACATTAAGGAATTCTAATTAGGTTATTAATGGTACTGAATTAGCTGGGAGCAAATGACCAATAAAATACTTGAAAGAAATTCATAAAATGACAAATTCAAATCTAAAATATGAGGCCTGGCAATTGAAAGAATTTGTGTATTTTAGAATGTAGCAAAGGCATTAATTTTTGGGAGCTAGACATAAAAAGTTGAAGCATTTACATCCTTGGTTTATAATTGCTCCCTACCTCAACCTACTTTTTTATTGTATTTGATTTCTAGAACATTAGCTCTGCATTGTGAGTTTTTATTTTTATTTATTTATGTATTTATTTCTTATTAGTAATTCTTGTAATAGCAGAGTGATTGATTTTTTTCCTTCTGGGCTAAATATCAATGGATTTGGTTTATATGCATAGATATACACACTTATGTGTATGTAGCATATATATGTGACATATGTGTGTAGTTTAGGGCTCCATTTTGTGTCTAAGGGTTGGTTATATTGGAATCAATAAGTGGATTTAAAAGATTTGGGAAGCTTATTTTGATTATTACTAATATTAATGGTACCTTTTTTTTTTCTTTTTCAGTGTTAAGAAATGGTATGTGGCAGACCATTATGTGGAAAGAGGTAAAAACTAATTTTGAGGATATGCCAAAAAGTATGGTTTGCAGACTTGTAATTAATTGCTATTAAGTTTTTGTTATGACATAGATCACCTCCATTTTATGCCAGTTTTAGATTGTGGCATTTTCTCATGAGGTTTACTTAGAAATGATGCCTGCTTTTTTGTTCTCCACCTTTTCTACGTGGTGTTCACTGTGTTAGTTCTGAATTGTGCAATTTGTTGCTCCTGATATATATTTCTGAAATCTCAAAGCATTTTCTAGTTTCTAAATACATGTAAGAGACATTTTCCCCTGGTCTTCTGTTATTAACCTAAATTAAATTCTTAAAAGTTTTATTTTGCCATTTTTGAGAGTCTCACTTCTAATATTTTAAGTGGAAAGTCTTGCCTTTATGAGTAAATGTAAAATGATAGAAACCATCCTACTTTATTTCCAAGGCAGGAGTGGTTGAGTATGACCAATAGCTGCCTTTTACTTTACAATAGCCAGAAGGATTTATCCCCACAGCCCTGGAAGTATGAGGCTTGAAGGGTTTTAGAATGCTTTTTATCATGATGAATAGAAAATTCATAAGAAATACATTATGACATATGGGATTTTTTAAAGTCATTTACTCTTTTGTCTTTCTCTATTTCATTGACCTATTATTAAATAGTTTAAAACCATTATCCCAAATAAGCATTATCCCATGTGAGCACTAAAACTGCAATCTGAAATGCTGCAACTCAAGTCAGCAATCCCCTGGCTGTGACTGCATAAAGCTGGTGTATGCTAAGAAGTGTGTCTTGTGTGGATCAGACAGCTGCAGCTGACTTTGAAGAGGACCTTTGCACTTACTTTTCATAATTCAGAGCCTTGAGAAAGCCTCTGAAGCTACAGCAGATTCATGGATCTGAAGGGGCCTCTTTTCCACCTGAACAATTCTCACTCTAGGCCTCTTTTCCACCTGAACAATTCTCACTTAGGGGAAAGCTGTGCCTGAGAACAAATATAAAGCTATTTTCAAACAAAATTCCATGTACTTGAAAGTTCTAAGTGCTTTATCACAGGGATATAATATTTCTTTATTTAGATAAGAAAGATAGGAGAAAGCCACCATTTTTCTTGTCCTCCCACTTTGAATTTAAAAAAAAAATCCAGACTTTTTTCTTTGGAAAACATGACTAGTTTTTTTTTTTTAGTCTTCTTTAAGCAATTGCCTCTGAGATTTTATATGTAATTAAACCATTCACATAACATTTCAATTTTCCTAAGTATCCCTTGCTTTTGTACTAAGGGCTTTTAAAATAGCTTTGTAAAATAGCTTTTTCTTTAATTTCTCTTTATTATAGAATATATTTTATTTTTTTAAAGATTTATTTATTTATTCATACAAGAACTGGGGTACAGGCTGGAGGTGCGGAGGTGAGAGAATTCACCATAGGCAGAGTGGGGAACAGAACAGGCAGATTGAAACACTGCTGAGGGTAGCAGCGGGCGAGACAGGAGAGGTCTGCAGTGCCATATGGGTTGATCCCTGGCTGGCTGGGTGTCGAACTCGTGCTGCAGAGGCTGAGGATTGCTTTACAGTGCTGTGTTTAACCCCTTTCACCACCAAGGAGGCCCTATTATAGAATATACTTTAATTATATCCCTTTCTTTTGATTTTAAATTGGATGCTAATTTAAAATGTACAATGATTCTGGAATTTAATTTTTACCATCCTTCATGGTGCTATCCAGATTGCTTAGACCTCCCCATAATTTGATAAGTGATTCAAAGCACCAGTAGGACACCTTTTAATCAAACCTTTTTTTCTAACAGAAAATTAAATAGCCACCTGCCCGAACCATTCTCCAAGCTTGTGAGATCCAGTAACTGCTTTTCACAAGGATGACATCATCTGAAATTTTTTGAAACCATTTTGTATTGAAATAACTTTGCACTATAACAAAGTTTCAGGTGTGCATCGTTAAAAATCAACATGGGTTAGGACAGTAAATAGAAACCACAATATTCATTTTGAAATTATTTTGAAATTTTTGTGCTGTCAGGAGCTCTACCATCCTTGACCCTTCCCCTCATAATGCCCATTCAGTTACACACTAGCACTCTACACAGGCCTGTTTCCTGTGGTACATGTATGTACCTCCTCACACCCCCAAGGGTAGTGTTAGTGGTAGTATTTCCCCATTTCATAAGTGAGGACATTGGAGCTAAAGAAGCTGGAGAGTTTTCCAGGATTCCAGAGCTCATGTGTGTCTCTGAATCTTGGATTTGAACCAAGACCTTCCCAGTTTGAAAGCTCATGTTCTGCCCAACCTGACTCTTCTGTGATCTTGTTTTCAAGTTTTTATAGACCCTTGCTTGTGGTGCTCATTGTCTGCAGACTAGGGTCTGTTGCCTTGTCTTGGGCGCTTTTGTCTAGTGAAGTCTGTTTCCCAGGGTGAACTCTGAAATAGACCATGATTCCTTTTTCTGGCAAAAGGTGAATTTAGAATTTCATTTTTGTCAGCCAATTGGCAGTATTGCTCGGTTTTGAATACTGACTCTCCGTGAACTTGGTTAAATTATTTCATATGTATAATGGAGAAAATTTGTGTTTATTAACTCTATTGAGTCTCACAAAACCCCATGAAATATGTTCCCTACTTTATCTCATCACAGAGGTGAGAAAGTTCTGTCACTTGCTCATGATTATAGAGTGACGACGAAGTCCAGGAAGAGATTTGCATCTCATTGTTCAGTCTGACTTCAAAGCCAGACCTTACTCACTGTTTTGTACAGCATACAGCCATGGCCATGTGCTAGGATTTGAAAATGGATGAATAATCATAAAGAAATGAGACCTTGATAGTTGTTCTGACTCATCTTTTTTCTTTCTTTTTTTTTTTTTCTTCATTTGTCATTATTGCAAGAAGGCAGTATTACCCCTTGTCTGGAATGAGACATTTCCTTTTTGTTCTTGTCAAGGAAAATAATTTAGGCCTCTCTGTGTTAAACTTCACAGCTTAGTTAGGTAGTAATTTTTCCATCAGCTATTTAAACACTTGATCACTATACTTTTTTTCTCTCATCCTTCCTCTCTCCATGACCCTGGCTTCCTAGGTGACCGTGGGGGACATTGTGAAGGTCGTCAACGGACAGTATCTTCCAGCAGACATGGTCCTGCTCTCCTCCAGGTCAGGTGTGCTAATGGGCACATTAAAAAAAAGTGTTACGAACAATAAAATACTAAGTGGTGAATGCAGAAATCTCAAGCCATCTCCCCCTCCCCCATGGTGTTGCCACTGTCCTTGTCTCTAACCTATTTGTCCATCACTTGTCATTTGCCTTTTCCTGCTTTAACTGCTAGTTTTCTCTCTTCCATCATTCCTTTGAACTTTTTTTCTGAGCTCTTTTATGTTTATTTAATTTATTTTACTCTGGTAGATATTCCTGCTATTTCTCATTTAATGGGAAACATTCAACAGCAGACGGGGGCCTTGCTCAGTAATGCCCAGGTTGCAGCACATCTGAGATTTCAAAACTCATTCCCTGTGGGGTCCACCAGCTGTCTTTCCTGCAGAACAATGCCTCCCTTTACTAGCTGTTCAGAAAGCCACAGCATTTTCTCAGCCTAGCCATGACCTGCAGATGTAAAGTTTGTTTTGAGAGACTGATGGTTTGATGCAGATGGTGTGCCTCTTTGTCCACATTTTGCACCTTTCTGCCCCAGTATCTTTGGCACGTTTTCCAACAGTTTTGTGCTGGAACAGTATCATCACTAAGTGGCATAGATAATGGCCAATGCATCATTAGTTTCCCTTTGGCTTGATGCATAAAAGTAAATATCAAAGAAGGAAAGTCAACATTAAGGCAAGAATAAACTTCTAGTCTTATGTTCAAGGTTAAATTATATAAGGGGGTAAACCTTTCTATATTTATATGTTATTAGGAATCATAAATGCTCACACAGTTTGCATTTTCTTTGATTATAGACAGAGTTTCATTTATTGTATTCAATCACTCCTTAGATTTTTAAGCCTTAACCTGAATTTTTTCTGTTTCAGATAAAAGGTTTAAAAATAGGACCCCGGGCCTACTGAGGGGAAAAAGTACTATATGTCAGGCCAGGATTCAGTTTTGATTTGTAACAGAGAACTTTTAGAAATAGTAAAACATTAATTGCTTGATAGATGTGATTTTACTGTGAGATTGCTTGTTTAAACTGAACCTCTATGTTCAGGATGCCCACTAGTGTTTAAGAATGTTCTTGTATGCAGGCTTGCTGCATACATTATCCCATTTAACCTTACTGTCACCTCTTGAGAGTCTTACTTTATACTTCATGAAAACTATGACACAGATTAAGCAACTTGCCAAGGCCGTGTAACCAATAAATGTAGCACTAGGAAGTTTTAGCTTAGTTGGTTCTCTTAACCACTAATTGTCTACCTAAACCTGCAGATTAGAAGTAGGAATATATTGCCTATGCTTATTTTTATTCTTTGAGTTTTCTGTCCCTAAAATTCAGTTGAAGAGTTGCTCATTGACGTAGTAAATGGTCCAGGAAAGAAAAGTCTTGCCACGTCTCTGCCTTGATTCCTCAACTCCTCTGGCTACTGTTTTGTTCAGAGATGTGTTTGTCCTTTGGTCAGGAGCAGACTTGGCCTTAGACTTTGGGGTCACCCAAAAACAATAGTCTTAACTGGTACATCATGTGTTTCTATAACACACTCTTCTCATTCATTCTCAGTTAACTTACCTAATTGAGGTCAGGCAGACATGATAGGGTGCCTAAAGGACAAATAACCTGGCAAACAATTTTGTGTTTCTGTTGAGCCTCAAAGATGAGTGTTTGTATTTCTACTCAATTCCTACTATTAACATGGTTGTTTATAGCATAGTTTTGAAGGGCTGATTAGCAGATACAGTTTCCATAGTCAAGACATTCTAAACTATTTATTTATTGGAGGACACCTTACTAAACTGTCTTTTTTTTCTCTCTTAGTGAACCTCAGGCAATGTGCTATGTTGAAACAGCTAATCTAGATGGGGAGACAAATCTTAAAATACGGCAGGTAAAATCGCCTTTTACAACTGGTGGTTATAGAGGCCCGACTTACGAATATGATTCCCAACATGTACCAGTCTCTGCTTTCACTAAAGGAAAATATACTCTTTGAGGGTTATTCCTTAACCCTTATAGAATGTATGGGAAGAAAAGATCTTTTATTAGGAAGGACACTCCTTGAAAGTGAGAGCAAGGTTTGAAGTAGGCTCGTCGAGGTATTGGTCTTGAAGGATATCATGTCATAATTTATATCTTACCAATTCTATGTCTGTCAGTGCAGGTAAGGAGATTCTCGAGGGGGAATCAAAAGGGGAAAGGACTGCATCTGTAATGGAGAGATGTAGTTGATAAACCCTAGGTCCCTTACTGTTACGTTATTGTTTTTGGTTTTTTTTTAAAGATTTATTTATTTATTTATTCAAGCACTGGGTACAGTCAGAAGCGCGGGAGGGTGAGAGAATTCACCAGAGCCAGAGTGGGGAGCAGAGCAGGCAGAAGGACCGAAGTTCACTGCTGAGGGGAGCAGCGGGCGGCAGGAGAGGTCTGCGTGCCATGCGGGACCCTCCTCCGGTGGCCGGGGAGCAGCTGGGGATTGAACTGGCGCTGCAGAGGCTGCGGGCAGCTTCGCAACCCAGCACTCAACCACTGTGCCACTGGGGAGGCCCCTGTTACGTTATTGTTTTAACTGTCTTCTAATTCTAGAGTGTGTAGTACATTAGATATAAATTTAGCATTCTTTAAAAAAAGCTATTCTTAGATATTTTTAACTCTACAGTGAAAAATAGTCTTTAACATAATAAAAGATGAAGATTAAATTTTGACATTTAAATTTTCTGCTGCATAAAGTTAAATTTGATAAGTCTGTCTTCATATCTTTCTTTTTTAAGGATATTTGATACTTTCATTTTAAACAAGAGTCACTGAATGTGAGATATCCTATTAAAAGGATATGGTACTCTATTTTTATGACCAGTGTTAGAATATCTAAGAGAATATGCTTTCTTGAAGGTGTTTGAGTTTGTTAATTGTTAGTGAAACATGGATGTTTCTAGCACAGTGTTTGAATCTTAACTTTCTGCTTCCTTGAAGTTTTTGGAAAGTTTGCATTATGTTGCTGTGGCAAAAGCTGCCTGTAAAGTTTGTTTTGAGAGACTGATGGTTTGATTTGTTGTTATTCTATTTTAGTTGATTTGTTATTTACTTTTTATTATAATGAGGATACTGAATGTTGTCCCTAAACCTGGAAGATTGTGTTCAATTTCCTCTTTGGTTTAACATTTTAGGGTTTGAGTCACACTGCTGAAATGCAAACAAGGGAAGTGCTGATGAAGTTATCTGGAACTATAGCATGTGAAGGGCCCAACCGTCATCTCTATGACTTCACAGGAAACTTGAACTTAGATGGGAAAAGGTATCACTTTCCCTTTTCTTAGTGTTTTTATTCTGTTTTTTTTTAAGCGCCTAAGAATTATTGGAGCATGTTTTAGGATTTCATAATAGCTTAAAGTAGTGAGATTTCTTCATAGACTCAGCTTTTCTTTATTCACTGCGTCAATCATTTTTAAATTTCCCTTAAATTTAAGGAAATAACTGATTTTTGTCCAGAAATGATTTTTGTCAAGAACCTCTCCATTGAGGTTCACAGCACTGGCCTGTGTATGTGTGTGTGTGTGTGTGTGTGTGTGTGTGTGTGTTTGTGTGTGTGTGTGTGTATTACCCTCTAATGAAACGTGGTTTTGGCTAAATAAGTTGTTCAGAAAAGCAGAAGGGATGTGTCTAAAAGCTAATAAACTTATTAGAGAAATGTCCATCTTTTTGCTGGTATTCTTCCTTAGTAGTACTGTTTTTGCTTCTAGAAAGTTGAATGAAATGAACAGCAATTACTCTGTCTTTAGGATATTCACCAGCCTGTTGTCTCTATCTGTTGTCTCTGTCCTCTTGGCATTTGTTTTATCAAGAGTCATCTTTTTGGTTATTATGTGTTGGGTTGCAGTTTCTATCTTCTGCCCATGTCTATCTGCATGCTTCTTACCAATGCTTCCCACCTTTGTGTTTTGAATGGACCCAAAACAGTTACAAAAAGTAATGTGACTACTTTCTTGGTTTTCATGTAGTATTCAGAGCCCAGAGCCAGCCTGTGGACTCCCCATTTCAAATTTCTAAATTATCTTTCAGGCTTTTATTTAATCATGATGTCATTATTGAAAATGTGATATTAGAGCTTTTTTCCCCCTTATAAATAGTCTGTAAAATAAACTGGGTTTCCCAAATGAAGAAGCTTTCACTTATTTTAGCAATTTTTTGGGGGGTGTTGAGTTTTTATAACCAGGTTATAAAAGATACAATTCCCCCTAACATTTTATAGGAGAAAACACACCTTTATTTTTCTATAGTGATAAATGATTAAGATAAATCTTTCATGTGTGTGGGTTAAGCCAATAGTAACTTTTATTGCCCCTGTTTCTCAACGAAATGGTTCAAATTTGACTAAAGCAAACATTTGCTATATTGTGGGTTTATGTTTAAGGGGAAAGCTTAAACTTATTTTTCAGACTTTCATTAAACATAAATGTTGTTTCTTATTTTTAGCCCTGTTTCCCTTGGGCCTGACCAGATCTTATTAAGAGGTACACAGCTTAGGAATACTCAGTGGGTCTTTGGCATAGTTGTTTATACTGGACACGACACCAAACTCATGCAGGTAAAACATTTCTATCCTGAAAACAATTCTGATTTTAGTCTTTTTTTTTTCTGTTTTATGGAGTAGAGTGCTTAGGAAGCTCAACTTTGTCTATGAACCTATATTTTGCTTCTTAGATAGTTTCTTCTAGATTTCTATTATTGTCTGAGATATTTGTTACCTCATGCCTAAAATATCAGTGGTCTTTGTTTTCCATACTAGAGGAATATCAGTTCGAGCCTACTTATCCTTTATACTCAAAGGGGGGATTATTCTAATTTCGTTATTTCTCTCTACTTCTCTTCCTAAGATGTAGTTAGCATCTTACAGTCAATTGTCTTATTTCACTGAATTATAGACAATTTAAAATCAATTATTTTGACCTAAAATGTTTTTTCTTCACAGACCAGTGAAAAGATATTAAGCTAAAATGATTTTGTTCTTTCTTCCTGTTAATGTTAAAAAAAAACCTATCTGCTTATTCACATTCCACTTAAAATAACAGCCAAATTATATTATGACATATTTTGTCATGCAGCTCTTGAAGTGCTGCATATATCAGTTTTCCTGTGTGCCATTTCTTACATTTCTTTGGTCACTCACTTGACATCTTATTTTGATAATGGTCACTGTTAATGAGAATTGGCTTTTCAACTTGTTTGTCCTTATGTATTACTTCTAAATACGTATTTGGTTGTATTTCTTAATTAAAAGTATTTTATGATCACGCCAAGTGTTGTGTTAGCTCACATGGATATACTAGTGAAAGGCCCAGCCTTGTCTTCAGAGAGACATGGGGGCTAAGGACTAGTAAGGAGTCACTGATTTGTAATATGTGTTATCACAAAGTACCATAGTTCTGTATGGATGGATCAACCAATCCAGTTGGGGGATGTCAGTTGACTAGATACTAAGAATGATACTAAGAAGTGTAATTTAGATGTAGGGTTGCAGAAGGGAGGCTATTGTATTGTTCCACTTTTTGAGGTCAAGTGATCTAGGAGGAGAGAATTAAATATTTATTAGAACAAATGAAGGCACAGATTCTAACATCTACAGCAACTCTGTAATACAGTGCAGGCAGGGGAGGGAAGAGGGAAGATTGCAGGGTTGAGAGAGTCATCGGAGTCAAAGAAGACTGTTGGAGTTGCTGAGTGACAGAATGATCAGTGTGTTGGGTCTTTGTTTTGAGTTTTGGGGTGGAGTATTTGTAGAGTAGAGACCTGAGAGTTAACCATGGAAGTAGGAAGCCAAAAGGTAGAATTGGTGGATGCCATTTGACATTTGGAAGTAAAGAACTGAGAGATTACCTTTGATGGGTTGTGCTCTGATTCTGAAGGTAGGCTCATGGCGTGACTGGGAAAGAGATGGATGCCAGAAAACTATTGCTCAAATCTCGAGGGAGTGACTGAGAGGTTGGTTAGTGGACATTCTAAGGGAAGAGGCAGAAAGTAGTGTAGCCAAATAGCATGAATTTTACAAGTGGGTTTTAAAACATGATATTTGAGGAATAAAGTGGCAGAAGTATTTTCAGGTCCTGCATATACATTCAGTACCACTGACTTCAGGTCCTGAAGCCCCCTCAAACAGTTGGGTGAGGCAAGAAGCTGGAAGAAGGGTGAGGACTCTGGGAGATTTTGGCCTGGAGTGACAGAGCTGCAGGTATGGTGGAATGTTTGCAGGGGGAGTATGTGTGGGAATCTACCGCAGCCAAAAGTGAATGGTTGGTGAGTACTGACAAGCTGCTCCAGGGCAGATGAAGATTATTCAGCCTATCTGAGATGTGCCTGATGATCCCTCCTGCAGTACTTGTAAATGATCACCCATTTACAAGTACTGATTGGACTGATTACATTTTATTGGTTCTGAGCAGCCTGAGTGTGTAAGCTTCATGTTGATGAATAGTTCGGTTCTACCTAGTAATTGCCTTTTCACTTCCTCCTGTCCAGGGCCAGCAACACAACTTAGCACTTGTGGAGCAGAACAGATCACTTCTATTTTTTATGAAGATGAGACAGAAATCACCAGGAGCTAGCTCAGATTTGGATAGGGCCTCAAGACTAGCTTTCAGATTGTATAAATTCAAGCTGTCTCCAAGATGCCTTGCGCACTGGTTGTGTAGTTAGGGTACAAAACTGTTTTTCTATATTATTCATTGGTAATACAGCTTTTTAGCTAAGGTATAAGCAATAATTAGGCTACACGTAAAAACGAGCCAGACATTTCTTTAGTGAGCAAATGTGCGCTAAGGCAACTCATGAATTCAGCATCCCATAAGCATAGTAGGCACTTTTTCTTGCACTTAAGTGTGATGAACTTCTTTGCATGGCATATTACATGTTGACTGTTTTGAGTATAGAATGATGAAAATCCTCAGAACATCTGTGCTAGGTAGACTTGCTGTGCCTTTAGGATGGAAAAAAACAAGTAAAAATAATAAGCTTTCAAAAGGAATATAACACATGTTGGAAGCCGTGCTGTTTATGTGAAATAATGTTTTTCATCTGTACTTGTGCTGCTTTACCAGAGAGGAACATGATCGCTTTACCTTTCTGTTGTAAAACCTTCACCTTCTCTGTGATGTTCCTTCATTTCATGTGTAGTGTAGTTACATGTTGAAATATTTCAGTGCTGACTGTTTCTATTGATTGATTTAATAGTGATCTCTGTCCCGTCATCATAAAAAAATAGAAGTGATCTGTTCTGCTCCGCAAGTGCCAAGCTGTGGTTGCTGGCCCTGGATTGGGAAAGTGAGAGCACAATTACTAGGTAGCACCAAACTGTTCATCAGTGTAAAGCTTCCACTACAGGCTGCTCAGAACCAATAAAATGTAATCATTCCAATCAGTACTTGTGAATGGGTGAGGACCTGCAGGAGGGATCATCAGGCACATCTCAGATAGGCTGAATAATCTTCATCTGCCCTGGAGCAGCCTGTCAGCACTCACCAACTATTCACTTTTGGCTGCCACAGATTCCCTCCTGCTTACATAAGCACTTAGTGCCCCATGCATTGATCTAAGCAATTAGCATGTATTTAATCTTGTATTTTTCACAATGGCCTAATGAAGAAGATACTCTTATTTTCCCCATTTTCTAGATGAGGAAACTGAGGTACAGTGTCTAAAGTTACCAAAGTGAAATCTAGTAAAGATAAAGGTGAGATTCAAACCCAGGCATTCTGGCTCCCAAGTCTATATTCTAACTAATATTCTACTGACTCTTAAGAGGGAATAAGTGGTGTGAAATATGTTTTCAAAAGCCTGACGTTTTGGGCTATTTCTACACAGACCTCCATTACTTAGAACAAACAATGTTTTCTATGAAATTTGTGGAAGAACTTGTAACACTAGTAGGAACTTAGCATTATATGCTCATCATTGCAAATCAAAATGGGAGTTAAATAGGTGGAGCATGGTTTTCCACTAAGTGTTTGTGTTGAAGCCTGAAGTTTTGGGGTTGTGGCTTTTGTGTTAGATGAGAGATAACTTTTTATAATCCTGTTCACTGGCGAGAATTCAACCATTGAAAAATATCAGATGCCAATAAACTAATGGAGTCATAGAAATTATGTTTATTTTAATTTGTTTTTCTGGCTATGCCTCCAGTGAATGTTAAAAATGGTAAAATCATCATCTTTAATTTTTGAAAGATTGGGGTAAGCATTCTTGGAACCTGCTGGCTCTTGCAATGAGGTCAGAGGTGGTGATGTGTCTCCCCCATTGACCTTCAGATGGTATTTGATTGATGTTAGGTCAGCCTTTACTAATGGATTTCCATTTAGAGTCTAGAGAATTTTTTTTTAAGTCTGTGTAAACACATAATTTAGAGAACTAAAGTGAAAGGGCAAAAACTGTGTACCTTTGACCCTTGAGCAGCTGGGATTTGAATTGCATGCACCCTCTTATATGCAAATTGTCTTGTAAACACAGACTATAAACTTAGGCTGTCAGTCAAGGCAGCATAATTCTGTAAGAGTATTCTCTCAAGGTTTTCTGTAATACTCTTTTCTCTAGGTTACTTTATTATAAGAATATAATACATAAAACAAACAAAATTTGTTTTTATTAACTGTTTATAGTATTGGTAAGGCTTCTGTTCAGTGTAATTAAAGTCATATTCATAGTTTCGGGGGAATCAAAGCTATATGGATTTTTAATTGTGGGGAGAGTTGATGCCCTTGACCCCCATGTTGTTCAAGGGTCAGCTGTATATAGAGGAAAAAGCTCCTGTGTTTAGATACTTAAAGGACTTAGCTTTTCAAAATCACCAGTGAACTAATTCCCCAATTCCCTACCACTATAAAAAGCCTTGGCTATAATTGTTTGGTGATAGAATTCCAGTGACATTGTGATAAAATTCTCTATGGAGTGTAGGAATGAATTGCAACTCATTTTATCTTGATTTTATATTCACTATTTGACTTTATTTATATTGTTATTTTCAGGACATTTTCATCCTACCTCCTTTTATGATTAGATAAATTGAGAATAGTGACAGAAAAGTCCTGACATAAATTTGGCACAAGACACCATTTTTATGGCCAGTTACTGCCTTATAAGCTTCAAAATTACCTGATGTTTGTGAGTAAGAGTTGCTCATGACTCGTGGAAGGAGATCTGCAGGCTAAAGTCCCTGCACTCTCCTCCCCTTGTCCACTTGCTGGCTTCCTGTTTAGTCCAGGCTCAGCTTACCTCCAGGAATGGATTGTTACCATCTGCTGTATTGCTATATTAATTTCCTACTGCTGAAAAACAAATCGCCACTAATTCTTAAAATTTTGCAAAGTTGTTATTGTTCTGTAGGTCAGAAATCTGAAATGGTTCTCACCCACATAAAGGTATTGGCAGGCAGGATTCCTTTCTAGAACACTCTAAGGAGAGTTAGAGGAACATCTGTTTCTTCCTTCTTCCATCCTGGAGGCTCGGCTTAGGTCCCCTCCTGCCATTTTCAGGGCCAGAGTGTTGCATCTCTTTGATCATACTTTTGTATTCACATCTTTATGCAGCAGAGGAAGGATCTCTCCTTTTCCTGTTATTAAGGATACACATGTTTAAACTGGGCCCTCTTAGAGACCAAGATAATCTTAATTTAATCATATCTGAAAAGTTGATTTTGTGGTACAAAGCGATATATTCATGGGATCTAGGTCTTCAGAGGTAGATATCACTGGGGGAGGGCATTTTTTTTGCTCACAACAGCTTCCTTCAGAAGATTAAAAAAATAAATTGATTTCAGGTGCACAGTTGTCTAATGCAAATAGTTCTATTGAGTTTTCCTCTGCAAGGAAAGTCCAGTCCCAGGTTTTCTGACTAATGCAGTGTTCTTTGAATCTGACTTTCATCCATCTTTCTGAACTCATTTCCCAGCACTGGCCTTTGCTCTAGCTGGACTCATTGCCCCACCAGCCATGAGAAATCTGGCCATGCATGCTTGCAGATGGCCAGGCTGGCTTTCTGCTGTTGTTGTACTTTCCTGTCTATTCTGTTTAATTCAGGACACCATTCAGATTTCTCCCAGCCACTAGAGCGTCTTGGCTTTTCCTATTTATTTCTTGTTCACAATTTTCAAATGAGCTCTTCGTCCATCCATTTATTTTGATACCGTTGATGTTCTATTTTGCATTATTGATGTATGTGTTCATGTATGTCTTTTTTCCCCTCAATTAAGTTTTGAGCTGCTGGAGGGAAAATAAGTACTTCAGAAATCTCTTTGTACATTATTTATAGGGCTAGATTTCTATGGTATGGTTTCTCTTGAATTAATAACAGCTTGATTTCTTTTAAACTAAGCTTAAATGATTTAGAAACTGTTATGTTTTACATAATGAAAGTAGCTAATTTTTGCTAAAATGTAATCATGGGAAATAAGGCTTGAATCATGTAGAGCTGAAGTGTGTTTTTTGAAACGGTAAATTGGGTCTTCTTTATTTAAAACTAACTATTGATTCATGAGCATGTGCAATTTAAAATTTCACTGATATTTGACCAAAAAATGTATAGCCTTTTAAGTACTATTTGTTGAATTTGGTTAACTTACCTCACTTTCTGCCCACTGTTTGCCCTGAAATTTCTTCTGTTGACCATGATTGATTTTAAATGCTGTTGTACAGAATTCCACCAAAGCACCTCTCAAGAGATCGAATGTTGAGAAAGTGACCAACGTGCAGATCCTGGTGTTGTTTGGCATCCTCTTGGTCATGGCCTTAGTCAGCTCAGTGGGGGCCTGGTACTGGAACGGGTCTCAAGGTGGAAAGAACTGGTATATCAAGAAGATGGGTAAGTGTTGAGGTGGGTTACTTGTTGAAGTAGGGCAAAACAACTTTTGGAAAATCCTTCCAAGCATGGTTTATTTGTCGTGGCCATCCCAGCCTTCTCTTTCCTTTGGCTCCTGAGCAGAATATCAGCTTTTCAAGGAGACAAAGATAAGGAGTTGTGTGATGAATGGAAGAGGGAGACATTTGTGGCATGTTTTATATTCAAATGTTTATTGTTAAACTACATTTTTTGAGTTATTTCTTGACCTCTGTTGCATTGACAACCCTGCACTGACAAATGGGAGTCATAGAGCAGGCTGTACAATACAGCATGCTGCTGAAAAAGCAAGATCCTGGCTTTTTATTGATAGAATAATCACACAGCATCAATTATATGGTATAGGAGAGCAAAGAGAAAGGGTAGGTGGAAATTGAAAATGTGCTTATCTCACCTAGGGCTCCAGTGGGGTGGTGAGTCTGCTGATCATGCATTGATAATCCAATATTTTATTAGAAACCATCCCCCAGACCTGCAGCCCTGGTTCTAGTCTTACCAGCAAGGTTTTCCACTGATCACTCTCTGGGATGCAAGGTTATATACATCTGTCAATGGCCTGCCGGGGCATTCCCAGTCATACCTCATGATATATACCTATTGTCCCAGGATGATCACACGTCCTGCTCTTGTTTAACTTGAAAGGAGCCTTGTAGGGTCTGGTATCCTACATTCTTTTAGGTCATATAAATGATTGACTGGGTCGTTCTGACCTTGTATTGGAATTCAGATCTGCACATAACCAAAATGGTGGCCGAGTGGGCTGTTTAAATCTAGCAGACCCACAGACCTCTTCCTTGCATACTTTTTCCTTAACTGTCTTCTCTCTGTTCTCCAAAACTTGACTAAAACCTCTATTCTGCATGGCCTTTGGTGAACACACCTTCCACTAAGCCTCCTGTCCCCATGTCCTCAATGCCCTCTGAACTCCCCTTTAATAGATGTCTCCTGCTCTGTGGTCACTGCGAGGGGCATGCTTTCTCTTACTTCACCCTCACAGCTTCCTTTCAGATGACAGTTCTTTATTGGTAAGGATTGTCTCTTAAAAGTCTCCATTCACAGTTAGTGCCCCATATTAGGTACTCAATAAGTTGTTTAACTTGAATCTCTAGGTTTATGCATAATATGTACATTTGCTGGGGGGGGGGTGGGCATCTTTGAGAAAATTCCAAAGCAATAAAGTGAAAGGAAACTGAATGGGGCTATAACTAATATTCCCATACCCATAACAGATATTCTGGTTTCCTTCCACAGATACGAGCTCAGATAATTTTGGATACAACTTGTTGACATTCATCATCTTGTACAACAATCTCATTCCCATCAGTCTGTTGGTAACTCTTGAAGTTGTGAAATATACTCAAGCCCTTTTTATAAACTGGGTGAGTATCACAGCAGCATTTAAAATTAGAGCTACTGGAGAAATGTCAACCACTACTTTTTAGTACACGCTCAGAATCTTAGCGATTTAATGAGTCCTCACGAAAGGAAGAAGATAGCTAGTTTAGGATTGTTCTGGGAGATAAACTGGCCGGAGTCTTGTCAGGAGATCTTAGACAAGAGTATCCCCGAGTCTCTGAGTGACTAGTTACCTATCATCTCAGTTTCCTGGTGTTCCAGGGGTTTTCATGAGGATTGAGAAAAGGGAGGCCGAAAGCTATACAGGTGCATGCCTTCAGATGAGTGCCAATGAAATGACTGCACATGCTCTTCATGCCAGTGAAGTCTAATTAGTGCTCAGGGAACAGCCTTGGAGGTGTGTTTGCTTCAGTGTCATATACTAGAATTTATGCTGACGGTAAACCTGGATTCTGTGGTGACAGTACAAGTGGAATTGTGCAGGAGCTGACGGGCCACAGAGCACTGGACTTCAGCAGCCAGGGCTTGTATAGATGGGTGCTTTCCCGGGCATTTTTATTTGATCTTCACAACAATCCTGCAGATGAAGCCCCTGGTCTCAGGGGCTATTTAACTGAATGCAGTAGCTGAACTTTGAAATGGGAGTTAGTCTATCTAGGTCATGAAATGATGCTCTCAAAGCCAAGTCTGTGTATAAACACCATATTTCCCCTGTATCACTGCATTTCTCTGTGCTAATAGCCACTGTATTCTTACCCTCAAATTGAAAATTGGCACTTATGTTATCTATTTTTAGTTTCTTTCTGTGTTAATCTAAGTGAAGACTATGCATTTTTTCCCCCTAACGTGCCCTCCCCCCTTCTCTACCTCAGGACACAGATATGTATTATCTAGGAAATGACACTCCTGCAATGGCCAGGACATCAAACCTAAATGAAGAACTTGGGCAGGTGAGAGTCTCTGATAAGGGGAGAGGAATGTTACAAGAACCGTGGAGCAATTTTGCAAAAATAATTCTTTGTAAATGTGGTTTATACATCAGAAGAGCTGCAGAGTATTTGAAAGTGCTATTAAATAAAAAAATGCATACATTGTGCAAAAATGAAAAATGATGTAAAATATATAAAATAAAATAAAATAAAATTAACAAAAGAAAGTGCTATTAAATACAAATGTTAATTCATTTTGACTTGCTTTTTGAAGTACAGGTATATCTTATCACTTAGAAGTTTTCTGCAAAAAATTTAGTATGGAAAATACAACATTATTTTGGATGCCTACAATTATTTCTCAGCAGCAAATGACAGAGAAAGTAATGTTTAAGACACTCAGATGTTGGGTAACCCTGAAAAGTATGTAGGGGATAATTTGCAGGATGTGTATTTATTATATTTCTTACATGTTCCATATTTTCTCTCTGGAACAGTCCAGGGAACTATTACCTTGCCCTCTGTCTACCCTGAATCTCTACGTCTTTCCCAAGTTGTGCTTTGCATTGTGTCTTTGTCTTACGTTGAAATTACTGCAAAGATTAGCCTCTTTTGAATGCATTCATTAAAGATTGTAATTTCATTTTGTACATCCAGCTTAAACTTCCCCAAAACATAATAAGGTGGGTGGCTATGTTAGACTAAATTTGTCTCTTTGAACTCTTTCCCAGTGTTCCAGGTAAGTTTAATTATCTCTTTTCTATGTTCCCATCCCGTAATAGTCTTTGCAAACATGAATACAGTAAATGAGATTAAATATGAATACAGTAAATAAGATGATAGTGATGTGGTGTCCATTTCTGTCTTGAGACGTTTGAGCCCAAGTGCAGATTGGATGTGCCAGATAACATCTTTGTTGCCTTTGTCAGTTCAGCACAGTGCTCAGTATGCTCAGGGGCCCTTAACTGGATGCCAATAATTGAAGGATTGAAAGTGCTGAGGAAGCACCAGGATGAAATAATTCCTCCTCATTGGGGATATGGGGAATGTTTGTTTGGGAAATTGTTTTGAGCTGGAACTTACAAGTCAAGTTAAAATTTAATAGAGTGATAGCAGATCTTGAGAATTCCTTATTATAGAATTTTTTAAGCATTTTGATATAATCTTAATTTCTGAAAAAGAAGTAGAAGGAGACAGTGCTTATTAGGGTACTTTTACTGAAATTTTATACTTTCAGACTTGATATAAAACTTACATAAAATTTTAGTATTGGGAGTTAAAACATATATCTGTTCTATGTAATATATTTTTCTTTAGGGACTTTAATATAGGGGAAAGAAAATAAGGGATCAGGAAAGAAAATAACGATAGTAATAATAAATAAACAAATTAGCAGACAACCATAAATCAGAGATGTTCTGCAAGGGAGCGGGAAGAAGAGGGATCAGAACAGGGGAAAGAAGAGCACCAGGAACAATGGTGATGGTTCACAAGTGAATTGGTGGTGGGAATTTTACAGGGAATACACTTAGAAGGAGAAAACATACATTGTACAAAAATGAACAATGACGTAATATATATATATAATTTTTTTTAAAATAATCTTTTTACTTACTTAAAGACCCTTTGATTATTTCAAAAATAACTTTCTATGTATTAGCTCATAGTGTATAGTTAATAAATAATAGATAGAAAGCAATTCATTTCATTAATCCCTCTCTGTAAAGCAGTTGGACACGGTTTCCCTGAAACAGTTCTGTGGGGTCTCTGGAGCACATCCCCAACAACCATAACACCTCTTTAGAAGTCCACTGAAAAGCTGGAATTTTTCCTGCAGTTCAATGCAGGAAAACCATTGATAAAAATTATTTCACCAACTCATGAAATAATTTCCAAGACCTCACACATATGATGATATATATATATATTTTTAGTCACATTCTTTATTTGATAGATACGGAAATTGAGTCCAAGAAGGATGAGGTGATTTTTTCCAGAGTCACCTGACTAGCTGGAATCCAGAACCTGAACTGGACAGTCTCTTTCCTCCTGGACTGAGTTCTTGCTCCTCTTCTTCATCCCATTATTCTCCTGAGGGTGCATACATTGCAAACTACATGTGCATTTGGAATTCACTTATTTCATTTCAGTTTATCGTAGCAAAATGGTTTCCTTGTTGAACTCTTCCAGAAATTTCTTTTTCTACTTTTGTATATTAAGAGCTCAGCATACTAAGTCTGTAAAACTTTGAATATTGAAAACTATATAACATTAGCAATCCATGTTGCCTTCCTGTAATCTTAATTGTGATGATGATGGAGCAACTTTGTGTTTGTTCTGTGTTCTGTGCTGTTTCAGGATCTGCCTTTCCAATCCAATTAGGGGATGGAGTCTGAAAAAGAAAAATGTTGAGGGTTGCCAGAGTTTGAGCTTGTTGTGACATATTGGATGTTAGAGCAGATTCCTGGATGAGAGTGTGGGAATGTTATGTGTCATGGAGCTGCCTTGTGGCAGGATCGTGCTTTTGCTCATAGACCCAAAGGGACTCCAGAGCTGTTACTGAAGTTTCCTTTGCACATTTCCACACAACTGGACTCCAGAAATGGTCATTTAAAAAATGTTTTAAACTGATCTAGGCATTATGGTGTATCAATATTATATAGTAATATAATTATTATGCTTTTTTAAGTAAATCTCTTTAAATTAATATAGATTTTGAAAAATATAGAAGGCAAGATTTCATTTGTTATTATTTGCATCTTATATTCTTGATATATATTCCTTCTATTCTTTAATTTAGGTAAAATACCTATTTTCTGACAAAACTGGAACTCTTACATGCAATATCATGAACTTCAAGAAGTGTAGTATTGCTGGAGTAACCTATGGGTAAGTGTGTTTATTGCTTACTGAAAATTTGTGTTCTTCCAATATAATGTTTATTTTTATCTATTTAGTCAAATTCTATGACTTTCTGATATTTTGAAAGGATAGTTGTGATTTAGGTATATAATCTCTATTGAATGCATTTAATGATTTCAATTTTGAACAGTTAAAACATGTTCTATTTCTGCAAATATTAACCTAGTGAGAAATACCAGGGAATCTATAAATTTATATTTTGAATCTAATAATTACAAGTTTCTTCTTCGTGTTTTGCTCACAATTTGACCATATTTTGTGACCACTCTTCCTCTCTCTCTCTCTGGCAGTCATTTTCCAGAACTGACAAGGGAGCCATCCTCTGATGATTTCTGGTGAGTAGAGTCTAGTATGTCTGATACTTTGATGGAAAAAGCTTCAGAATCAGTTTACATTGGCATTTCTTACCTGTATATTTTGTAACTAAAAACTGTTTATGTTATTTCAAGAGAGAACCAGAGTAAAATTTAAATTTGAATATTGTTGTAAAGTTCAACGATACAAGTTTTTTACCAAAAAATAGCCAGCCCTTGGTCGAATATGTCCGACTCACATCCCACTTCCCAGCCAAACTCAACTTTCAGACTGTTTTAGGGATATTTATTCCTTATATTTCAAAAAATATGTATTAATTTGTAAATTTAAAATGTTAGATAATATTAGACTTCCCATAAAGGAGACTGAGGGTTAGTACTGTTCCTCATGTGTGATCTTACCAAACACCTTTCCCCCAACTTTTGGAAGCCTCTGAGATTTTCTGTGTATTCTTGGAATATACCCATATGTTTGGGGTAGGTTTATTTTTTCATTAATTTGAGCATTTAGTGGGTTCTTTCTATTTGGAAATTTTCTCTTATTAGTTCTTGGAAATGTCCTTTTGTTATTTTTATGTTAGTTTTCCTCCAACTGTTTTTACTGGATCTCCTCTTGATCAGATATTAAGCTTCTGATTCTGTTATCGTTTTTCCCCTTTTCCATACTTTTTATTTTCTGATTTTTTTTCATTTGATTTTCTATCCTTTGTAGTGAAGTTTTCATATGATCTTACTACTGGGTCTCAAAAGCATTTTTATACCCTTGTCCACTACCTACTTCTGGAACTTTTTCATATGAAACTCTGTATCCAAAAAATAATTCCCTTTTCTTCCTTGCATATAAGCTTCTACTTTCTGTCTCTTTAAATATAACTACTCTAGGTACCTCATAAGTGGAATCATACAGTACCCATTTCTGTCTGGCTTATTTCACGTAACATAATTCTTGAAGGTTCATTCATTTGTAGCATGTATTGGACTTACTTCCATTTTAAGACTGAATGATATTCCTCTGTATGCATATATATCTATATATCTACATAGAGATATATAGGTCTATATATGCCGCTTTGTTTCTAACTTTTGGCTATTGTGACTAATACTGTAATGAACATGGATGTATAAGTATCTGAGTCCCTGCTATCAATTCTTTTGGCTATGTACATATACCTAAAAGTGGAATTATGTGGTAACTTTATGCTTAACTTTTTAAGCTTTTCTATAGCAGCTCTGCCATTTTACATTTCTGCCAGCAATGCACAGTATTTTTACATCATCATAACACTTGTTAATTTGTTTTGTTATTTTTTGAATGATAGTCTATCCATTGTGTGTCAAGTAGTATCTCATGGTGCTTTTGATCTGCATTTCTTTTCTGGCTAGTAATGTTGTCTGCTTATGTTTCAGCATTTGTACACTAACAAAGTGGATTGGTAGGGCTGTGTGTGTAGGGGGGCAATGTGACTGATGACTGACTGGCTTCCCTGATGAATGATCAGTCAGGACCTGCTACTTTGCTAGAGTATGCCTGGCTGTCAGTTTCTGTAGATCTTGTGAGCTGGCCAGTCATCTTCTCATGAAAAGATCTCTTCAGTTTCCTGCCAAGGGTTATAAATCTGACTGCAGATATTATGGGAGCTCAGTGGAGGTAGGGAGGTAGAAGATTGGTGATTGTACCTTCCAGCATATAAAGGATTTCAATTAAAGTTCCTGTTTTGGGAGGTTGCCTTCCCTACCTGCCCATGTGCCCAGTGGCCCTGAGTTCAGTGCTACTCTGGCTTAATCTTTCTAAAGGATGGACATTTATTTCTTCCTGGGTGCAGAAGCTTCCATTGCTGGACTGAGTGGGTGAGCGAGGGTTCATGCAGTCTGAGTCTTCTCCCTGTTTTCCACTCTCCCTGAACCTCATACTGTTGTTTCCACAGCCTTCACAGGGTTCTGCTGAGAGCATCAGCTTGCATTTTTGCTACCCTCCCTTGTAAGCTGTCGCCTTATGTTTGCTAAACTCTGACAAAAGATAAGACTACCATCAACTTATTCAAAGACTGACATCAACTCTGCTACCCTCTCATCTTCCATTGTCTTTGAAGAAAGGGTTACAGGAAGGAATGTGAATATGTGAATATACATAATTTTGTTTTCTTCAATGGGAGAGCACACACAGCCATCATCTCAGTTTCAGTTCTCATAATTATTTGTCTCCTCCTCTCTACAAGCTCTGGCCATCATTACACAGATTCAACACAGCCTTCAACACAGTCTTCTTCCTGTTTTACCTACTTTGAGCAGAATTCTTGGAAATTTTCTCTTGTAGAAGTTATGCAGAGACCACCTAAAATGACAAAGTCAAGGTGTTGGTTCTTGCCTCTGTGTTTTCTCCTTGTAGCTGTTTTATTCACAGTCAGATTAAAGATTTATGGTTTGAAATAATATATAGTATTCCAAATTTTAAAATCTTAATATATATAACATTAATATATATTATATTAATAAAACATATTAATTAACATATAGTAATATATACTATTTCAAATTTGAGGTTTGAAATAATATATAGTACACCAAATCTTTAAAAGTTTAATATAAATTTAACGCTTTTTAGGTGTGTATCTTCTTGAAGACAGATTCTTACTAAGTCTGCATTAGTTAAAGGAACTTTTGAATTGGATAAATATTTTCCATTTTCTCTTTCAGCCGGATATCTCCTCCCCCAAGTGATTCATGTGATTTTGATGATCCCAGGCTCTTGAAGAACATTGAGGATCATCATGTAAGGCCACCATTTACTTCTAGGACATCTAACTGCTTGTGCAGTTGTGTTATATATTATATAGTGTTTTGAAAGGTACAATTTTGGAACCTAGGGAATGATACAGCCTCCCATATATGGTGTGAATACTTCAGCAAAGTGATCTTAAATAAATGCTTTGTGGTGAACACTGAACTTAAAAATGTAGTGAAGCTATAAAGTAGCACACCAGCATCAAAATGAGTCTTATGTTCATGGTATTCTCTAATAGTTCAGATTTCAGTTACTTTTTAAGATTTCTCTAATATTATTTCTTCACAGTTGTGAATCGAAGAGGTATCTTAGTATTTTGAAAAGTTATTGCGTATCCATTGAGTAGGATAATTAAGAAAACAAAGTAAAACATAACATATAGCATAATAACATAGAGCATTCTGCTATGTATCAGACATTTGACATAGATTTTTCTTTAGCATTTAAGTTATCTCAGGGAGGTGACAAGAAAGAACGACTTGACCAAAAGTTACCCAGCAGATAAATGCAGAAATGAGATTCAGAACCCAACTGTATCCCATACTTAACTCTGACATCTCATTATCTCAACTATTATGACAAAACAGGGTTAATTGTAGGATTGCATATTTTCATTTTTGATTTAAAGGCTAATCTGAAAAATTACTAACTTCATAAAGTACTCAACAACTAAATATTTCAGAACCAGAGCAGTCAGTATAAATTGGATCCACTATGGTTACTTTATTTCTGAAATAAATTTTAGTTTTAAGGTTAGGTAATCTTGATCAAAGTTAAAACTATTTTTCCAAAATTTTATTAAGATACACACACACATATAATGTACATATTACAATATGTTTTTAAACTTTCTCTGAATTTTCAGTGAAGAAATTTTTTTCTCTACCACAGTTAGTGCTGATTTATTTTTTAATGTGAAAACCTTCCTAGAAGCAATTATGAAATGTGAGTGTATAAGACACCAGTGTCCACAGGCTGGGGTCCAGGCTTCCTATCTTGGCCCTGATGATGCCCAGACCACACAGGAAGCGCTGCTGGAGACATAGTCACAGGCAATGGTGCAGCTCCATTGACTTTTGATCTTAGAGAAAGATCCAGCCATTTGGCTACAGGTTCTCTAAGCAGAAGGGTGGCATCTCAGAGGGAACTTTTCTAGAAGAGGGTGGTTTTAATTAAGGGTACCAAAGAAATAAGTCACTGTGAGGGTTTGCTTTCCCAAAGTGGTATCAAGTATTTTCAAACAGTATTTAGGATGAGGGCAATAATAATGTGGGTGATGAAATTTCTCTTCAAGTTGCAACAGTGCTATGCACACCTCACCTCATCTTCTACAGTTTCACCTAGTCATCTGTGCTAGGAAAACAAACTATGAATCTAGACTAAGGGCAGCTTTCTAAGCCTCTATCACTCTTTCATTTTCTCCTTTCCTACTCGCCATCCCAATTTGAACAGAAACACATATTTTATATGTATATATAAACTTTTTAAGAAGTTAAAACTTTTTATTTATTGTAAAATAAATGTACAATTCAGTTTAATATATTCTAGCTACTATGTACCCATTACTGCCTGTATACAAAACTTATTCATCTTCCAAAAGAACTCTCTACTTGCTAATAAGTAACTCTACATCCACTCTTCCCCTAGTTCTTCTATTCTGCTGTCTCTATGAATGTGCCTATTCTAGGTACCTCATATAAGTTTAATTATATAATTTTGTGCTTCAGCTAGTACCTTTTAGTATGCACAAAATGCTTTGAATATTTAGAAATAAATGTTTTCCATTTATTTGAAATACATGTTAAATTGTCTTCTATGACAAATTGCAACTTAAAGTATTTAAATAATATAACTATACAAATAATTTCTTTTTAAGACTCAAGTTCAAAACTCCTAGACATAATGATATAAAAGAAAGTTATGTGCTCTTCCTTGGCAAATCTTTAGGAAATTATTCTACAAATATAAGTCATTGATTAGAAATGTAATCAAGGGACAAAAGATTAGTCCTTCAAATTTTCTATAGGTTTATTCTCCAAAAAGCAAATTCCATCTTAACTATTGGTCCACACAGGTTTAAAACACAGGGGTAAAGAATCCAGAAAATAAAAAAATGATGACTCAGGAAAAAAGGACATTTCTGTAGCAGATGGAAATACTCCCTTGGGAGGAAGGTCAGGGTTTTCTTGGGTCACATACTTTAATCTTAGAGAATGGTCCCAAGACAATTTAGATAAGAATGGGGGACTTCCATAAGCTAAAGTCCAAAAATGCTTCTCCCCTCTACTCTACCACATTTTGGGGAAATAACCAAGTGATCTACTTACTGCATTTAAATTCTCAAATTTATTTCATTTCACTGACCTATAACATGTATTTTATTTTGTGAAGGTTGATAAGAAGTCATGCAAACAATTGTGATTTCCTTCCATACAATTGTTTTTGACCTTTGACCTTAGGGGTCAAAGGAGAAACTGAAAATGTTTCAAATGTTAGTCATCATCCATTTGTGACTAAACAAAAATATACACAGAGTAAAAACTTGCACAAAAAAATAGCAAGCACCAAGTTTCTTCCTGGGTATGAAAATGCACATTTATCTAAACTTTATAGCCAGGTGCTTATCTAAAAACGAAACATTAAGACATCATTAAAATAACTTCAGCACATGAAAGCCTGGCACCACACTGACTTTGAACTTCATTCCTAAAGTGTTAGCATGAACAGCATGGTGAAAACAATTGAAGAAGGATAGAAAAGGAAAGGCATCATCTATGGATGAGATAATGGTCTTGAAAACCCAGAAGAGTTAACTGAAACTCAGTGGGCTAGTGCAATGTCAGTTATAATTGCGTGTTAAACTAATGTCTAAAATTCATATGAACAAAGAATTTTTTCCTAAGTTCTATGTTATTTGTTTATCAGGCTAAGGCTCATAGAGTTTCTTGAATCTCTTATATAAACAGTAAACTCTTGTAAAATATGATGGAAATAAGTTTTTACTTATATAAAAAGTAGTAGACAAGATGCCTAGTACAATGCTTAACATATAGTAGGTATGCAGACTTTTTTTGAATTAATAAGGAGATAGGAAATATGTTAGAACTGATATTTAGAAATTTTAGGAGCTTGTAGTAAATAGAAAGGCATACTGTATTCTTCTATGGGTAGACTAATTATGAATGTAGTCTAATCCAATGAAAAGTTTAAGAATTGTGTATCCTTATTTAAGGGGGTGGGTAGGAGAAATATGTTAACCATATAACCAGAACAATTTTTTTTTAAGGCAATAGGTAAGGGGTGTAGTACCTTCCAGGTTTTAAGAAGTTATAAAGTCAAAGAACAGACCTGATAGAAAACAAATGCCAACATAGTGGAATAGAAAGACCAGGGACACATGGGTTTGTGGATCAGTTCTTGCCATGTGGATCCAACATAGATTTGCATGCCTTCTGTTTGCTGAGCCTGGGGATACCTTAGGAAGGAAGGCAGACAGCCTGCTTGCCCTCCTGGATGTTTTAGAAGTGGGGAAAAGCACATGAGTGGCAGGAGCATTTGAAGTGTTAAAAATGAGTAAGGTGGGGTGCCTGCTGAGTCCTAGAAAGGGCAAGTGCCCTCCTGTTCTTACCTGATTGTATGTGCTTGCATGGCAAAAGCAATTTTAAGCTGAAGCCCAGAGGACAAATAAATAGAAAAAGTGGCTGAAAAGCAGTTAGAGGCATTGATGGAACAGCAGGAAAGGACAGGCCTCCTTTCCAGAAAGACACCATGGTGACTGTGAGCGCAGCAGGCAAGTGTCAAGAGATGGGACTAGATGGTGAGCAGGTGCAGTTCCTGGGGACCTGAGTTCTTGTGCATCTCCACCTCTGTCCTGAAGAGCAAGGAAGCCATTAGAGGGTGTTAAGCAGGGTGTGATTCAAACCTGACTCTGATGAATGATGGCAGTGCTCTAGCACAGATTAACTCCGGTTTGTGTTTGTAGCCCACAGCTCCTTGCATACAGGAATTCCTCACCCTTCTGGCTGTGTGCCACACTGTTGTTCCTGAGAAGGACGGAGACAACATCATCTACCAGGCCTCGTCCCCAGGTGAGGGAAGTGCCCAGTGTCTCCTTCTCTGGAGACTTGGGTGTTTGCCCATTTGGTGGAGACATACTGGTGTAGCCTATCTACAACAACCCCACTTCATAGGTTATTGCTACCAGTGCTGAAAGCAAAGAAAGCTGGTGCTGGGCACTTGACTCTAGAAACAGTTTGACAGCCGAGAGACCCCAGTCATCTCAAACTTCCTAGCAAAGTCACTGTGCTAGACAAAACTCTCAAGGGGAGCACCCATTTCTCTGATCACCCCCATCGGTCATGGAATTTCTTAGCAGATGATGAACTGTGTGCCAGAGTGCTAACTCTCTCCCCACTTCTGTGCTCTATGAATTCCCTAACCAAAGCAGTGCTTACTTAGGGATGTTTAGTTAAAAAGTCATTAGAACGTAATATTTATGTTCACTAGAGAAAACTTGACCCAACCAAGAGTAGTAGGTATATAATCACTCTTGTCCTGGTGAATTTTAGCAAGTCCCATGTCTTCCTGTCAAATAGAAATGCTCCTGTCAGGACCCTGGTGATAAAGAATAAGTGTGAGGCCTCTATACGCCAGGCCTTGCTACTATGTGTTTAAGGCCAGGTCTCCTAAAATGAGTGTGGATTTTATTATTTTGAAAAATAATAATTACTAAACAGAATTATAACATGACCAGAAATCAGTCAATGTTTCATCAACTCTCTATTGATAGATGAAGCTGCTTTGGTGAAAGGAGCTAAGAAGCTGGGCTTTGTCTTCACAGGCAGAACACCATACTCAGTCATCATAGAAGCGGTAAGGAACAGTCCTGGGCACCTCTCGGTGTTGTCAATCAACTGCTTTTTGGAAGACTATATATTTGAAATGGCACATCTACTGTAAATTTGATAGCTGCCTGTCTGTTTTTTTTCCTATGAGAAACTAGACCTGTTGTAAAGCTGAGGATGTTGTATGATTATATTAGCTTATTCATGGTTTTTTTTGCATTCCAGTAATTTTTCTCAATGTTTCCTCGTAAGTCCTTCGTATTTGCAGCAAAGAAGATATATATGATTTATGTATATACATTTATATATATATGATTTTTACCCCGTGAAATCAAGGAGTTTATTTATCCTATAATTTTTTCTGAGTTTTCCTTTCAGGGAGTCAGAGGGAGAAATTTAGTGAGAGGAAAAATTTAAATCAAGAATACACAAGCAACAATGTAAACCAGTTATCTTAGTTAAAAAAAAAAAAAAAAAAAAAAGAGTAAGATCAAATGAGTGCCCTTGAGAGGGGCAACAGGAGAAATCGATGACCGGAACTGCAGGGCACTGGCATTTGTCCCTGCGGTCAGTTAGCAGAATCGAGTTTTATTACACTCTGAGGGGCCTGGGGCAGTCACTGCCTTCTCTTCTCTACCTTTCTCTGCCCCTCAGTTTGGGAAGGACTCATGAATTATTATGTTTTATGGCTTTATTCACTCTTAAATTTCTAGACCACTTTAGTGCATTTGAAGTTCATTTTCAATTGGTATAATAACTTGATATTCTTTCTGATTTGAAAGTAGTCAGTTTCCCCCTTTATTTATATGCAAAACCTATGATCACCCAGGGCACGACTAACACACAGTGCACTGAATAACCCACAACTCCCCATCTTAAACACAACTACTGATGCACTTTAATCCAGCCTTCATAGCCTTATTCCTCTCTTTCTACAACTACAAGTTCCTGTTTCCTCAGTCTGGGCCCACTTTGTCAGCCTTACTCAAAGTGCCCATTTCTTGGCATTTACAGTTTGTTTTTTTATGGAGTACAGGGGCTCAGATAATTATTTTTACTTAATTTCAACAAACAGAAGGAATTTAGCTTAAGGAAATATGCAATCATCGTAAGTTGGAACAAAGTACTGACTGAATATTGAATTTCCTGCAAAGAAGCTTTTCACAAAGGGAGTCTCTTCCCTGTTAGGTTAAGGAGACTTTTAACCTTTCACCAAAGGATTTTTTTATTGTATGGCTGCTGAATTTCTCTGTATCACAGTGTCAGTGCTGTGGACTGGCAGAGCACAGAGGGAGACCCAAGACAGCATGGCTGCCTTTGCCTTTCTCACAGTGCCAGATGATTGTGGGAAGCTAGGGAGCCTGTTGGTGGTGTCATCACATGTTAAATGCTGATGGAAAGCATCCCTTTGTCATGTTGTTCAAGTTTTAAGTCCATATATCTGGGAATAGAAATGATTAGTTGATTAGTTAAGACTCACAAATGATAATCTCTTTAAAAATCCTAATTTATCATTACTACTGGTATATCATTAAACAATTCTCAACTTGGTTAGCAGGGGAGTCCACAGGCAGCACGTGCAAGTGGTTGATGTAGCAGGGGAACAGAAGGGGATCGACCCCTGATGGTGACAGCCCCAGTGCAGAAGGCTGGGGTGGCAGCAGGCACTGGGACCTAACAAAGTGGGCCCAGACTAAGGAAACAGGAATTTGTAGTTGTGGAAAGAGAGGAATAAGGCTATGAAGGCTGGATTAAAGTGCATCAGTAGTTGTGCTTAAGATGGGGAGTTGTGGGTTATTCAGTGCACTATGTGTTAGTCGTGTACTGGGTGATCTGCATGGTACTTCATTCAATAGTTCTCTCAGACCTAGGGATCCAGGTACTGTCACCATTCATAAGAAAGTCAGACATTTAGCAGCAGAAACTGAATTCAAACGTAGGTTGTTGAACTCCAAAGTCCGCATCCTTTGCACTGTGATATATTGAGAAAATAGAAAGCAGATTAGATTAAAAGTTTGGAAATGGTGCATACATAATCTGGCATTTTCTGAAAAAAAAAAAAAAAAAAAAAAAAAAAGTTGAGAATATTGAGGTTCCAACTTTGAAGAACTCAAAGTTGCTTCTCTGAAAATCCGATGCAGATGCATCACCCCATATTTCTAAATAAAAAATTACAAAAGCTTTGAATTCCAAACATTTTCCCCCAAAATTTGAGGTGTAGGTATGTGGCAGAAAATGTGAATGTGACAGAAAATGTGACAGGATGCTGCTTTTGTCTTTATGAATCTCAGTGTAAATAGTTGTACATTTTGCTACAGCACAATCTTTTGGTACTTCTATCAAATATCTAAAACTATGAAATAAAATTCAGTAGCATAGGTTGCGCCACGGTTCCACGTGGGTACTTAGTTTCCTTTACCTCATGTCTTGGAAGTAGCTGTGTCAACTAGCCCAGAAGTCTGCTATTACAACAGCCACACTGACTGGAGAAAAATGAAAAGTTTTCACCAGAAGGGGGTGCTATGACCCCACCAGACTGACCTTTGGGAAAACTCCGTGATGAAAAGGCTTTTGCAGACTTACAGGTGACAGAGAATGAGAAAGGGAGAATGATGGCTGTTTATCTGTATATTGAGAGATTTTGACTGGGGATTCAGTTGTTTTGTGACTTTAACAATTTATATCTCAGGTAAGAGCCTGTTTTTCTTCCTTTAGATGGGACAGGAACAGACATTTGGAATCCTTAATGTCCTGGAATTTTCTAGGTATGTTTCTCTTTCATGACTTGAAATAAAAAACACATATATTTTACATCTTCATCAGAGTATTTGAATGATTATATGGCAGGATTAAATATAGTTCTTAAGCATTTAATACAGTACGTATATCTCATCAACCTCTCCTCTCCATGGAATTTGTGACTTTCATTAAAGAAAGTGAAGCAAGTCATTCTTTGTTTTTTCAACTGAAATATTATCCTTCCATGTCTTCTTTTTTCTTTAGATTTCCAGAACCTGGTGTTTTTACACTAGCAGGTGCAGACACGTCTGCATGGTCTGGAATACGTGATTAGGGCATTATTGCTATTGGTTTTCCCCAAGCCCCATAAAGTCCTGCCTCATGCTCCATCCAAGCAGTCCCATGTGAGATCTGGGAAACTGACAAATGAGGACAGATTAGATTGATTCATCAAATTGCAGGCCTGGCCCAAGTAGGTCAGATCTCCTGGATGTATTCAGACTCATTTTTCCTCAGTGTGGTTTACTGAATTTAAGACCTGGGAGTATTTATTGGATTGTTTGTTTCCCTAGACCATTCATAGGTCGAAATAAGAAAAAAATATATTAATGTTTTGTTTCTTTGCTTCTTCTTAGCACTGAACTATCAATACTAGAATACAGTTAATTTCCTATTATTAAAATTAGCTGAGTCTTCAGTAACCTTTGTGAAGTAAGTTGCAAGTTGTATGTTCAACTTGTATTTACAAGCTTTATAAACTATTAGAGAAAGTTAATTTTTAAACCTCTCATAGGAAATGCTTTCCAGCCTTGTCTTTAGTTTTAGGACTGCACACTTGAACTTTGGTGGGGTTGTGTGTTTAGAGGAAGAGAGAAATGTTTGATAAGAGTAAGTAATAGATCATAGAGGGAGTGGGGGTTACACTGTCCATATGTGTGGATGTGAGGGCCACCCCAGGCATTTCTCTAGATATTGTGGGCCCCATATCTAGATTTTGTACCCCATTATTAGTTGTGATTCTGGAAACTGCTGTTGTATGATCGCGTAAACTGGATCAGCAATATTGGAGGCATGAGGAGGAGAAAGGGAGTTAGAAATAAGTGAATGTGTATGGAGGCACAGGACGTATTTTTTTAAAAGATTTATTTATTTATTTATACAAGCACTGGGTACAGTCAGAAGTGTGGGAGGGTGAGAGAATTCACCAGAGCCAGAGCAGGGAGCAGGCAGACTGATGAAATACACTGCTGAGGGGAGCAGCAGGCAGCAGGAGAGGTCTGCGTGCCATGTGGGACCCTTGCCCAGCGGCCGGGTATCGAACCGGCGATGCAGAGGCTGCGGGCAGCTTCGCAACCCAGCGCTCAATCGCTGCGCCACCGGGGAGGCCCAACACAGGATGTATTAAAGAAAACATATGAGAAAATAAGAGTGCACAAAAGGATCATTTGTGGTTAGATAGTTGACATCTTTTTCCAGATGCTACTTAATTTTCAGAATATTTCTTTAACATATTGGTAGCTTTATACATTCAGATACTGAAATGCTGGGTAAATAACTTTGGATGGAACCAGACTATTGGGTAGCTGGGAGAGAATTCATATCCAGTCAGACAGAGTGCTGTGGGTTAGGATGTAGGAGTTTACACAAGGCTGGGGAGAGAATGTCCCCTACTTCTAAGAGATTATAGACTGTTCGAAATAACTTTATAGCTAGGCTAAAGAGATGGGTGGGTTGGGGGCCCTGTTGTTAGGATGTATTTCAGGCAAAGGCATGGAATAGAATAGGAGGAGAATAGGATTTCTCTGATTTACTTGAAGCTTGGGTGGTATGAGAGGATTAGTAGGAGAGAGACGGCAAGGCTGCAGAGGTGGATGGAGACTTAGAAAGAAAAGGAATCTGTAGGTAATGGGGAGCCACTGAAGCCTCAATGATGAAAGATAAATAAGGAAGCATGCATGTCGAGGTGGGCAGAGGAGCCATTCAGCCTAACTTCATGCTAAATTAGGAGTGTTCTACAAATTTGTAATTTCTTTCTACTCCATTTACAATGAAGAACTTTTGAGTGGATTTATATTGATTCTTCCAATTTGTTACATACTGGGCACTTAACATTTTTGAGCGGTGAAATAAGGAATAGGACTTTAACAGAGTATTGTCAGAAGTAAATTGGATATACTTGGTAGATGCTCAAATCCTTCATTTCTGTCTCTGCCACTAGTAATAGCTGTGACAATGAGTTTTTATGACAGAGAAAGAAATAGAAAAAGCAGGAAATATTTCTGTGGCCAAAACTCCACCAGGGTGTTGATGCTGTGTTGCTGGGCTCTGTCCCTTACAGTTCCCTCCCTCTGTATTTACTCAGTTCCAACAGGGAATCAGCATTAATTCCAAAGAGCACCTGCACCCCTATGTTTTTAGCAGCACTATTTACAATAGCTAAGCTTTGGAAACAACCCAAATGCCCAAAAATAGATGACTGGATCAAGAAGATGTGGTCCATATACACCATGGAATATTACTCAGCATTCAAAAAAGATAAACACATGCAATTTGCAGCAACATGGATGGAGCTGGAAGGGATCATGCTCAGCGAAATAAGCCAGAAAGAAAAAGAAAAATACCGGATGGTCTCACTCATAGCAGGAATCTAGAAAACTTTAAGGGACCAGGAAAAAGAATAACTATAAGAAAGAAAATATCAAAATCAACAAACAACTATGATCCAGAGACACACTTTGGTGGGGGGGGGGCGGGGAAAGGAGGGATGGGGTCAGAATAAGGGGGTTGCAATTGTATGGGGAATATAAAAATAAAGAAAATAAATTAAAAAAAAGAATTACAATTATTTGGAAACTAAAAAAATAAAAGAAAAAGCAGGAAATATATGACAATCAAAGTCTGACCTTGGGGGAAGAGGGAAGGAAAAACGGAGGTTGACCATTTTCAGAACCATCTTTTGATTTGTTTTGTGTTTAATCATAGGACAGGGACCCTATAAAAGAGACCACTGGCAACTTTTTTTTTTCTTCCCTAAATTCTTACAGTGACAGAAAAAGAATGTCTGTAATTGTTCGAACTCCTTCAGGACAACTTCGACTCTATTGTAAAGGGGCTGTAAGTACTGGTGACATGTCTTGCATAGTCTTTGGTTCTTTTTCCTAACTGCTAGGTTCATCACCCCTTCTAGTTTCCCCCAGGTTTAAAGACTCTTTCAGGTCAACCATGAAATTGACCTAATAGTATAAGCCCACTAAAGAGCCTGATGGTTCAAGCCAATGTGGCAATGATGGTCAGTGAAAAGCTTGCTTTTAACCAGCGGTTGGTTTCAGAAACAGTAACTTGATGTGTCATCAATATCCTTGCAGTGTAAGTTGTGATTCAAGTTTTACCACCTTTGAGTTACGACTTTGGGAAGATCAGGTAATTTGTATTGACCGATGGTAATTGGTTCTCTAGCAGCTGTTTTTTAGTTGTCACAGTTTAATTTTTTATATATCACAGAGAGTTACATGATCATGTAAGGGTAGTGTCCACTTTGGTCACATTTTTACTGCCCTCTTTGGTCAGCTTCCTAGGCCAGACCTTTTGTTGTAACTCCTAGTAATCGAATCTAAATGTATTCTCTCTAATGAAAGATGTTACTGCTTTTGAACCTTACTTGGACGACTATACCCTGTTAAATTGTAGTTTTATGTGCAGAGGGAAAGAATTATTAAGCTCATTTTAAGAGGTGGTGTCAAGAATACTAAGCTATACATAGGATCAGTGATTTATTGAAAATCTTACTAATCTACCTATTGTGGGGAAAAACATGGTCTTATTTGAATACACTGTGACTGGAGCTTAAAAAAAAAGTAATGCCTATGAATTCTAAAAGTATTAGAATTGGCTGGATTCTACTACTAAAGAATTCTGTGTTTATAGTAACAACTTATTGATACATCAAGATCACCTAGATTATGTTCTCACATGATGATTTTTTTTTTACGTTTTGTTAATTTATCATTATAGTCTATACCACAGAAGAAGGCTGTAATTATATAATGATGTGAATAGGAAAATGCTGCAATGGTGTATTTTATTTTCATGGGATTTGATTTTTTCAAACCTGACCTAACTAAACTAGATTTCTGAAAAAATATTTTAGTCTCCTAGTATTGTGTAGTGATGGAGAGTCTGTGACATCCAGTCCCCCAGACCTGCTCATCAGTCACAGAAGCTACCACAGGGTGATGTGCTGTGTCATGCCTGTGTGTTTCTCAAGTGAACTGGGTTCAGTGTCTAGTTTGTGCCTGTTCCCTGGCTGGGAACTTCCTCCATGTCAGGAAGCAAGAGTGTACCTGAATGATTGAGGAAGTGTATTTTACCCTTTCTGTTTTGCAAAAAAATATTATACATTTTGGTATGGATTTTTGCCAGTTTGGGTGAATGTAGGTGCTGCTGTGTCCCTGGTTGTTATCCTGGCTCCTATGGACCTCTCTAATATGTTTTTGTTTGGACACAACCATACTCAATTTGTATCCCAAAGCTCATGACTGAATCCAGCCAAGAACTATATTCCTTCTTGCCCACTCAAGTATTCACATGCACATTAGATAAACACCATTAAAACAAAACTATGTTTAGAATGCTGACTGCAAGGTTGACTTAAGGCTTTGCCAGTCACAACATTTCCCTATTTTATAGGATAATGTCATTTTTGAGAGACTTTCAAAAGATTCAAAGTACATGGAGGAAACATTATGCCATCTGGAATATTTTGCCACAGAAGGTAAGTGAAATTGGGAAATGTTTTTTAACCATTGAAACTTTGCTTTCACGTGTTTATGGCGTTTATGCCTCTTGCCCGGGTAAGTAGTCATGCACTGAACAGTCATTTTTGTGCAGCAGTTGGCTTGCTTCATACGAGTGTGTTTTCCGGGTGCTAACTCCCCGGCCCACACTCCACATTCTGGGTCTATGACAGTGAAAGAGTGTGTTGGAAAGTCCATACTCAACTACCTACACGTGACTCTGCTCATTTTTAGCCTGAAGAACAGAAGGGAAAGGCAGCCAACTCATGATATCTTGAATCATCTTGTATTTATTATTCCATTTCTAAGAAAATGCATGTTATCTCCCTGTTCTTCTCTTTTTAATCCTTCTGACTCCTTCTGACACTAGCCTATCTGTGTCTTACGGCAGTAATAACTCATTGAACCCATAGAAAACAGGAAAGGAGTTAGCTGAAAGGCTTGAAACAACACTGATGTCAGGTTTTCCCTGACATCACAAGTGAATGTGATGAAAGCAGGTGCCTTGCTGAAATGCTGACCGCTGCTTCCGCCCCTTCATGTGTTCTGATGGCGGCGTGTGTACACGCACCTGCACCCTGCCCAACAGGGTGGCTGCCTGAAGGCCGGATGCTTCATGTGATAGCACATTGGGCTTTTATTGCTGTCTTGAAATGTACTTCCTGCCTCCTCTGCTTGCTGATGCCTGCCTCCGGCACATGTACAGCTGGGGCCTGCTCGCTCCTGCACTTCCTACAGTGGGGACGCCACTCTCATGGCTGCTCAGGTATTCTCAGATTTATAGAAGAGGTGGTTCATCTTAACATACAGGAGAATTTTTTCTACGTGCCCTTTTTATACGTGTGGAAGTTGGATTGGAGTTTCCTAAAAAGCAGTTGGTTTCTTTAACATTTTTCAAGCAGGCTAGTATAAAATGGAGCCACATTTTGTCCTGTTTGCCCCCATCACCAGAGGAATCACTGGGATGCACTGTGACTGTTTTGCAGGCTTGAGAACACTATGTTTGGCTTATGCTGACCTCTCTGAGAATGAGTATGAGGAGTGGCTGAAAGTCTATCAAGAAGCCAGCACCATATTGAAAGACAGAGCTCAGCGGTTGGAAGAGTGTTATGAAATCATTGAGAAGGTAATTGCACATGATGCAGTCATTATGTGTCCAGTGAGGGGCTTAGCCACTTGTTGACTGGAGTCTTTGAACAGTAATCCTTTGCTGTCTAGTGATATTCTTGTAAATATCTCAATTAACCACTTGCTTTAGTCATTTCTTTTTTAGAAACACATAGCTTTTATGAACTATCTGAAAGGTCTAGCCACCTCAACTAAGTAATAATCATATCTTAAGAAGCATCAGGTCAAAAACAGCATCAGTGACTTCCTAGGTTACCTTAGAATAGGCTCAAAGGAGACAAACTCACCCTGCTGAGTTTCAGAGCAATTGGAGGGACAGGGTGGTTGGACATTGTACTAACTAAGAATCTACACACTTATTCTAGTAATTTTAGAGTATTACTCACTTCGCTATGTATCTCTTCCATATTGCCTATTTTTTGTTGTTGTTCTTTTCAGTTTATCCCAAGACATTCAGCAGCTTTCTATGTATTGGATTCCCTCAAATCTGGGTGCTGGATATCAGCTTCTTTTGTTTCATGTCAGCAACCATTGGCCTGTCCATTTTCCAATTTACATAACTTTGAAATCATTACCTGTTTACTCTTTTCATTTCTTCTGTTGTATGTATTTTTATTTCCCTTTGCACTTTTTTCCTCCCTTTGCATTTTTATACTTAATTTTTGTTGAGTTTTATTACATTCACTTGTCGGTCATTGTAATGAATGGATAGTAGTATAATTGAATTCAAGTGTTCTTATGCTCTGTTTTACTGTAAATATAAAAAAGGCATTTAAATGGGTGACATACCCATGTGGCACTAAGTATGTATTAATTGCTCAAGAAGTACATGTATTTAAGACCTCAAGCCATAACATACATGGAAGAAAACATAGGCAAAACATTCCAGGACATAGGCTGCAGTGATATCTTTGTGGATCCCTCTTCCAATCATAAGAGAAATGGAATATAAACAAATGAATGGGACAACATTAAATGTAAAAGCTTCAGCACAGTGAGAGAAACTATCATTAACACAAAGAGACACCATACTGAACTGGAGAAGAAATTTGCATTACATACATCTGACAAGGAGCTAATGTCCAAGATCTACAAAGAACTCATACAACTCAACAAAAAAGGAAACAAAGAACCCAATAAAAAATGGGCAGAAGAGCTAAACAGACACTTTTCCAAAGAAGAAAAACAGATGGCCAACAGGCACATGAAAAAATGCTCATCATCACTTAATATCAGGGAAATGCAAATGAAAACCACAATGAGATACCATCTCACATCTATGAGAATGGCCTAAATAAAAATAACTAAAAGCAACAAGGGTTGGCAAGGATATGGGAAAAGGGGAACTCTTATACAATGTTGGTGGGAAGGTAGACTGATCCAGCCCTTGTGGGAAACAATATATTTTCCATTGTCCAAATATTAAAAATAGATCTACCTTATGATCCAGCCATTCTACTCCTTGATATCTACCCAAGGAATTCAAAAATACTAATTTGAAGGGATATATGCACTCTTAAGTTCATTGTACCACTCTTTACAATAGCCAAGCTATAGAAACAAATTAAGCATCCCCAAACACATGAGTAGATCAAGAAGATGTGGTATATATACATAATGGAATACTAATCATCTCTAAAAAAAGATGAACTCTTGCCATTTGCTATAACATAGATGGAAATGGAATGGATTATGCCAGGTGAAATAAGTCAGAAAGAAAAAGGCAAATACTGGTGGTTTCACTTATATGTGAAATATAGAGAAAAAAAACAAAGGGTCAGATAAACCTAACCAATAATACACTGTAGATGTCTGGCTATAGAATTGAGGTTAGCAGAAGGAGAGGGGAAGTTGGAGAGCAGAGTGTGGAGGGGGCTCAGTGGACTATGGTCAAGGACTATGAGTGCGTTGGTGGTAAGAATGGGGTGGTAACATGTATCTGAAGAAGTGTGGTCCCATTCTGCTGAATCATATACAATGTTGTTACTGCAATTAAAACAAATAAATAAAGGGGGAAAATGGTGATTGACTCTTCCCATGGTCAGGTCACCAAGTTGAGGTGTTCTGACATGGAGAGACTCAGAGGAGGCCAGTAAGGTTAATAGACACTCTGTGTGAAGACTCTGAAATCTTCCAGACTAGTAAGCAAACCAGCTCAAAGCTTTGCATGTCACACCCCTCCTCAGTGTGAACTGACTCTTCCTCTACCATATAGAGGACCAATAGGGCAATGTTTTATAGCTCCTCAATCTTAACTTGATTGTTTTCTTCTCTGTTGAATTCTTTAAGTGTACCATCTAGAATCAGTTTCTCTCATATGTTAGCACTAGCATGATATTTTACTCATTAGTGGAGGGAGAGGCAAGGGTAATATACTGTAAATATCCAAAGGATACTCTCCTGCCGAATGACCTGTATTCTAACATGCTCATGCACCAAGAAATGAATGACATGTAATGGGATGCCTGTGTGAATGGAGTAGTTCTAACATCCTGAATAGTTTTGTTGTACTGCACATCTAGATATCACTAATTATCTGCAAACAAAATTTAGCATAGAGGATGTAAGATAACTGTCAGAGCATTTGACTGTCTTTTTTTGGCCTTAGTTTCGCCATTAATACTGCTCAATCTCTAATTGAAGATATTTTTCAATCTAGAATTTACTGTTACTTGGAGCCACAGCCATAGAAGATCGCCTTCAGGCAGGAGTTCCAGAAACCATAGCAACTCTATTGAAGGCAGAAATTAAAATCTGGGTGTTGACAGGAGACAAACAAGAAACTGCAATTAATATAGGTAATTTCCTTTAAAATATTTTTTGATGTTGATTTTTGTATTATCCTTTTAAAATGTCTCTTAGAAGTACCTAAATCTTCTTTAATGCATTGACAAATGACGTTTTCTAGAACTCTTCATTCACAAGACCAAGAAAAGTTTACCCAAACCAAATGAAGATGCTTTTATGAGCATAATCTGACAGTTATAAATGTTAAAATTGTTATATACCCCTGAAAGATGTTAAAAAACATTTAGATACAGTGTATAGAATGCAATAGTTGACAACTTTGATTTTCTTAAGGCTTTCTTTGCAGAATTTTAGTCTAAGAAATTAACAGCATGTTTTGGCTAAGTTTAAAATGTACATTACGATCATATACATTTTAAGCATTTTAATGATTTTGCCAATTGAGTGGTCTTTTTTCTGAAAGGCTAGTTTCTTTCCTTCCCCTGGCTGGATTGACATGCTTTTTACTTGCTATGCATCGCAGAAGTGAAAATTGAAGAATGGGGATTTAAGTCCAAATAGTATAATTAGTGCTAAAGAGAGGCACATTTTAAATTTGAAAAGTAGCTGAGACTACTAATTTTTTAAAATCTAACTTATTTAAAATATTTAGAAATTATGTGGTATTTATGTCACCATTATGATATTATAAGCCTTAAACATTTATGATAAAATTTACTACATGTCTTATCACATATTTATGGAAACAGATCTTATGTGATGTTCAATTCAGAAAGAAACACTCTGGAACATCTGAATTAAAGAAACCTTGTCCTATTTGGGACAGTTTCCTTGGAATAGCATCAACTGAATCTAATGTGCCCGTTTCCTTACACCTTCCCTTTTGAATCAGCTCTGCCTCCAGATGCTCTCAGATGTAAACAAACCTTTTCTATGAGTTGAATTTCACTTTTTTTTAAAGCACAGATGAAAAAATTTAATTATTTTATTAATCACTTCTTATCTAAATTGTAGATAATCAAATGCAATTTGGGCTTGCAAACAATTGATATTGAAAAATTGGAGTCAGGGAGGGGGCGGAGCAACATGGCGGCGAGGAGACGCTGCGAGTAAGATCTCCCATTAAAAAAAGTGAATAGGGAGGAAAAGCGGCAGGTCCCAGTGAGAACTGGGACACGGAAGATAAACGGGTGACGCCAGCGAACTGCCCGAAGAAGAAAGTGGCCATAAAAGAGGACTAGAAGGGAGGGAAGCTCAGAACCCTGCTCCCCTCCCCCGCCCACAGAGGCGGCACTCTCCGACCGGCAGAGAGGAGGAAACAACAAACCAAAACGGCCAACAAGAAAAACGGACGCAGCAAACGGGACTGTGCGTGGAAAGGAACTATTGCAGCCACCACACCCCGTGAACGGGAGCTGAGGCGAACCCTGCAGGATTCGCCGCGCCAGCGAGCGAACGGCTCCGGGCGCCATTAGAGAAGAACAAAGACCCCGGGAGATGCGCACACAGCCCGGGCTGCCGGTAAGCTGGCGCAGGAAAGCGGCTCGCTCGGCGCGCTTGAAAAGCAAGTGCAGACCTGGATCGCGGCTGCCCAGGTCCCCGCGCCTGCGACCTAGGCTTGCGGGGAGACGACCTAGGCTTGCGGGGAGGCGCGGAGGTCCTCACTGAGGTGAAGGTCCCTCCCTGAGTGAGCAGGAACCAGGCGCCCAGGTACGGGAGCGGTGCAAAAGGCGCCATTCCCGCGCCACTGAACTGGGCTACAGCCCGCGTCCTGGAACTGAGGGCTTTGAACTGAGACCCGGGGCACGAAAATTCGGGGCGTGGTTTCTCCACGACGGTGGGGCACAAGGCAGACACAGCACCCCAAAGCTGTTGAGGTGTACCCTACCATTCCCGCTCTGTTCTCTGTCCCACGGGGTGGGGGGAGGCGAAAAACAGCCCCCCAAGGACAATAGGAGAGATCTCTGGCGCCACCTAGCGACCAGGAAAAAAAAAAGTCACTAACACCCTATAAAACAGGACATTTCTTAAGACTGCTTGAAAAGGGCAGGTTTCTGGAGGACCCAGTGGCCAGCCGGGAAGTTATTCCACGCCAGGCCCCTTCCGACCAGCAGTCTGAGCCCACAGAGGGAGCAGGCACCCACGTCCGGGGCAGACCGGGTGCGCAGAAGAGTGTGCCTGAAACCGGAGGCGCAGGGACTGCATCCCGCTTCGCCATTTGAGAACAGGGATATTTCTTCAGTAAAAACTGCCTAAAACCAGCAGAAAGCTCCCCCAGAAGACAGAGATGGCTCCTGGAAGAGCCAGAGGGGAGCGGAGAAGTTCACCCAAGATGTCAGTCAGTCCGAGCAACACAGTGTCCCAACGCATACGACAAATTAGAAAACAGACAGTAGGGAGTAGAAGAACCACACGCAACCTAAAAACTCCTCAGGAAAGAAGCACACCACAAAAAGAAAACCACTCCCCAGATTGCAACGACAGCAACTTGGAAGAACTTCTGAGCCTTCCAGAAAGAGAATTTAAAATTGCCATGATTAAAAAAGTGATAGATCAGAAGAAGGAAATTGAGTCCCTAAAGAGGGAAGTAAGAGAAATGCAGGAGATCAAAGAATTAATGGAGGAACTAAAGAACTCTGGGAAAAGCAATGAAAGCAGAATAGATGAAATGGAAGAACGAATAAGTAATCTTGAAGACACAGAAATAAAAAGAACCAAAACAGAAAAGGAAAGAGAAGTACGAAGGAAAAAGAATGAAGAAAGACTTCGGGAACTATCTGACTCCATGAGGAAAGGAAATATAAGAGTTATAGGAATTCCAGAAGGAGAGGAGAGAGATGTAGGAACAGAGAAAATATTTATGGATATAATTGAAGAGAACTTCCCAAATGAGAAGAAGGAGCTGAAAATTGATATACAAGAAGCAAGAAGAACACCAAACTTCCACGACGAAAGGAAAAACACAGCAAGACACATAATAGTAAAGCTCCCAAGAATCCAGGACAAGGAAAAAATAATGAAGCTGACAAGAGGGAAGAAACAGATAACATTCAAAGGAAAACCAATCAGGCTGACATCAGACTTCTCTGAAGAAACACTACGGGCAAGGAGAGAGTGGAGGGACATAGTCAACAGACTCCAAGAAAACAGATGCCAACCAAGAATACTCTATCCCGCAAAGCTCTCTTTCCTCCATGAAGAAAGAATATGGACCTTCCCAGACAAAGAGAAACTCCGGAATTTCATTGCGACTAAACCCCACTCCAAAAAATACTACAAGGAATCCTAAAGCCAGAACCTCAGAGGGACGAATAACAACGAAAGAAGACCAAAAAAAAAAAAAAAGTTATTAAAAGAATAAATAAATAAAATCAAAGGAAAGACAAACATAATGGCAAATACAGATGCTAACATATCAATATTAACTCTAAATGTAAATGGACTAAACTCTTCAATAAAAAGACACAGAGTTGCAGCCTGGATTAAGAAACAAAACCCAACCTTTTGCTGTCTCCAGGAAACACATTTAGCTACAAAAGATAAAAATAGGCTCAAAGTCAAAGGATGGAAAACAATCCTACAAGCAAATGGGCCAAAAAAGAAAGCAGGAACAGCTATACTTATATCAGATAAAACAGACTTCAAACTCAAAAAAATAAAAAGAGACCCCAATGGTCACTACATTATGATTAAGGGGACAATACTTCAAGAAGAAATAACACTCATTAACATATACTCACCAAACGAAAGAGCACCAAAATATATCAGACAACTGTTGTCCTCTCTGAAAACAGACATCAGAGAAAACACATATGTAGTGGGAGACTTCAACACACCACTATCAACAATGGATAGATCAACAAGACAAAAATAAGTAAAGAAACTAAAGCTCTAAATAAGGACCTAGAGCATTTGGGCTTAACAGACATCTATAGAACACTAAACCCAAAAAAAACGGAGTACACATTTTTCTCAAGCGCACACGGATCATTCTCCAGGATCGATCACATACTGGGGCACAAGACAAACATCAACAGATACACCAAGATTGAAATCATACCAACCATCTTTTCTGACCACGAAGGCATCAAACTAGAAATAAATCATAAAAAGAAGGCAAGGAACTATCCTACCTCATGGAGATTAAAAGCCACATTACTGGAAGACCACTGGACTAACGAGGAGATCAAAGAAGAAATTAAAAAATTCTTTGAATTGAATGACAAGGAGGACACCAATATCCTAAATGTATGGGATGCAGCAAAAGCAGTAATAAGAGGAAAATATATAGCAATAGAAGCTCACATCAAAAAACAAGAAAGAACTCAAAGAAACAACCTAATCTCGAAGCTCAAAGATCTAGAAAAAGAACAACAAAAAAACCCCAGAACCAGTAGAAGAAAAGAAATAATAAAAACCAAAGCAGAAATAAATGAAATTGAAACTAAAAAAACAATCCAAAAGATCAATGAAACCAAGAGCTGGTTCTTTGAAAAAATAAATAAAATAGACAAACCCCTAGCCAGGCTCACAAAGGAAAAAAGGGAGAAAGCACAAATACACAGAATCATAAATGAAAGAGGAGAAATCACAACGGACACAGCAGAAATCAAAAGAATAATCAGTAACTACTATGAACAGTTATATGGAAACAAGTTCAACAATCTAGAGGAGATGGACAAATTCCTACAACTCTACAATCACCCAAAGCTAGATAAAGAAGAAATAGAACACCTAAACAGACCAATTACAAGCAGCGAAATTGAAATGGTAATTAAAAACCTCCCCAAAAACAAAAGCCCAGGACCTGATGGATTTACAAATGAATTCTACCAAACATTCAGAGACGAATTAGTGCCTATCCTTCACAAACTCTTCCAAAAAATTGAGAAGGAAGGGACAATACCAAACACGTTCTATGAAGCCAATATTACACTAATACCAAAACCGAATAAGGACAACACAAAAAAGGAAAACTATAGGCCAATCTCCCTAATGAACACTGATGCAAAAATCCTCAATAAAATTTTAGCTATCAGAATCCAACAAT